AGCCAAGAAAGTAGCTTCATGACATGCTTTCCCAATATTGTACAGGGCTTTCGAAGCAAAACACTATGAACCAGCTGCGGGTAGTATGCAAGACTGCAATGTTTACAGCGGGATGTGGCGAACAGGTGTCCATCGCGATTTCCACCTCGGGAGCTTCAGATCAAGTAGTCCTCGCGATAGACCTCAGCACACCAGTACCTTGCTGTAGACCGGGAGGAAGTTGCGAATGTATATTTATCGATCACAGGCTTCGCAATACCTTCATGCCAGCAGGACTAAAACAAGAGGTTGGGGTAGGCACCTACATAGAAAGGAGAGTGACTTCGATGTATTAGAACCTACGATGGCTTTTTGCCAGACGATGTCTGCACCCAACCTGCCTCAAGCAAAAGCGACCACATTGGTGAGAGCTTCCTCGAAAACCAAGGCAAAACTGCCAGCAGTTAGGGCTGAAGCGTTCCACTGTTACTAGGACAGTGGACCATCAATTTGCTCAGAGCGAACTCGTGGACGCACTATGACTACAAGAGTGGTCTTCGTTTTAAATTGATGAACATCGGGCACGTATAAAATAAATTGCCTGGAGTGCAGCCGAAAAGAGAGTACCGAGGTTAGGCTGGGGATTACGTGCCAAACGCTCTCGGCAGGCAGGAGAAGTCAAACGACAGATACAGGAAAAAAAGGTGTATGTGGTGTGAGTGGCCCATATCCTGTAAGGACTCAAACCTTCTTAACCGCAAGGAAGGTACGCAACCTGTGTAAATGGGCGTTCTGAAAAAATATCCAGCACCGGCGTAGGCTGGCGAAGCAGCTAAGCTGTAACCCAAAATGTCTAAGTCATAGGTTTTGGTGAAATAAGACCAGTGATTCCACGGAATTGTGTCGACGTTTTTCACGTGGCCACATCAAATCTTCTCATGCACTCGGTTGAAGTAATCCAACTGAACGAAGAATGGAAGAACGCTATCCTCTCACCAATCATCATGGGGCGAGACCGAGAATACTGGTGCAGTTACAGACTTCCAGCGTTATTGCTGATACTGTCTGGGGCGCTGGAAAGCCCGGTTGCAGACGTTGCTTGGGTCTACCTGGACAGAAGCAACATCGGCCATCCAACTCGACCAGACTTCAGGACCAGGCAGTCATGTACGAGAAACTTGATGACCACATGGAATGACTTGATCCCTAGATGCGACAACAAGCAAACAGTCCACGTCATTTTCCTACCGTAGTCAAAGTTTTTGAGGGCTTTCTAAATCGTATCATCCTTACTAAACGTTGTAGAACCACTCACAGCATGGAATTGAAGTCATGCCTAGCCATCCTCTTTACCCAGTCCTGGTATCAGCATTATGAACCACAGTGCCTGCATATCGTTGTCGTAAGTTATGATTCTCCATAATTACTTTTCACTCTCCCTCAACTTTCACACTTCTTGTTTTACAATTAACGAAAATTGATCGCTTGGGACCTCCGTCTTGGTTAATGGAATCCTCCTTGCATGTCACGGCCAGCTGTTCTCTAGGATGAAAAGAATCTGAAAGATCCAAGAAAAATAGTCAGTTACTTCGCTTGATATTAGTAATGCCGAAGCCAATTGTTACCAAGAAGACGGATGGCTTTTTGTGTGCAACGTGGCTGCACCAAAGGACCCTACATATGCGTCAAACCTTATGAAGTTATCAGAATAGGGTGCTGTGGCGAATTCTCCAGGAAGGAATCGCGCAGCCTAGATACTCTGGATCCAAATCAGTTGGCGTGGTTCATCATACGTGTTCTGTCATGCAGCAGTCTGACAGGATGGCATCCTAGGTTGTGCTTCTGATTGAAATTTATGAGTAAGCCGTTAAGATGAAAAGGATGACGTGAACCTGCATCTCACTCCATCTCTGTCCTCTGGAATGACAACAGGCAAATATATCAAGCGCAATCCATACACAACTGCATGCAAAAATTCAACCGTATCCCATTCATTTTATGCATTGTCTGGTGGAAATCGTTAGACATGGCTTCATCGGAGAACTTTGCAATAGCTAACAGCTACAACAACCTTGAAGTCATTAGGCATCTCGACATTCGTGTCATTCTTTACCATGAGTTGCTAAACCAAACCAATGGAAGTATACATTTAAAAAATGTTGTGCAATGGGTAAACTGATGTGGTGTCACGTTCTAAAAATTCTGGTTCGGAATTAAGAATTCCACAAGAGATTAATCTGGATAAGCGCCGAGCAATGTTTTTCAGCACCCCTGACTCTCAGAAAGCACCTTACTGTCTCTGTGGAACAACTTTCCCCTCACCACCATGGAGAAAGACCTGGGACTGATACTCGCTGACAAGCTGGACACTAGCTCCAGCTACCGAAGAGATGCTTCCAGGGCGTACGCAGTACTGCACCTAATGTGCAGACAACTAGTTGCCCTAACTCCGGAACTCTTTATGAAGCTGTACAAGACCTACATAAGACCTCGCTTAAAGGTCTACAGCGTCATTTCACCACCATATCGGAAGAGAGATATGAACCTGCCTGAGAAAGTTCAGAGGCGAGCAACAAAGGGTGTCTAGGGGACGAGGTAGAAATCTTATGAGGACGGGCTAAAAGACCTGGGGCCCTACCCTATCAGCTTTCGTAGATTGCGTGGAGACTTTATAACGACTTATAAAATGCCAAGTAGTCCAAGTCACCCGAACATTCGAACCCTACCGAAGGGCCACTATGATGACCCTAGCGGTGACCCTGGGAGAATCGCCCACTGAAGGTCGAGGTCCAGTGTGCGCTCACGCATATTCTCTCTGCGAGTTTGCAGCCAGTGGAACGAGTTGCCGACCGAGATTGCTACTGCTCCGTCTGTTGAAAGCCTCAAGAAGAAGCTGGAAAGTTACGCAGCGACATATGGTCTGCGCCCATCAAACTATAATATTGCTTTCTGCTCCTCTTCTCCCTGATTCTTTGATCTCACACTATTTAATGAAAGTTCTCCGCACCACTTTTCTCCCACGAATCCACCTAGGTTTCTTCTTCCGTCCCTTTTGTAGCTGCCAGATTCCAATAATCTTGGCCTGAAAGCGGGAAATAACTAGGCGGTTCCAACTGACGTGAATCTGACTAGTTCCTGCGTTCTACTGTATAGCTTCCTAACTTCCGCGAGTGACACACAGTCAAAGGTTGGATCAAACTGTCAAAACAAGGTTTGTAGTAATTCAATTGTAGATTAGTAACAAAACCTGTGGTACTATCAAAGCAACAATAAGTTAAGTCAAAATTACAAAAATACCTCAACAGTGCTGTTGGGTAACTTTACAGTCCAAGACGTTCTCGGGTGCAAATGCGTACTACACGGTAAAAACTGGTTAAACAAATACAACTGTTAAGTACCTGAGAGTCATTAGGAGTATTCTCCACAAAAGGGATCAAAACTGCCTACCAGAATCAAATCAACAAACAAACGTTCCCAGTAGACAGTCAAGAGACAAACAGTGAAATCACAGCACAACCGTAAGTTGAACCAAAACAAAATGTCGGGCGCAGTAAAACAACATCACCTTGTCAACAGTCCAGTGTCATATAACAGGAAAGTGAAACGTCCATGATAAGTCTAGATCATACGAAGGCAAATCCTGAGTGCAAAGTCAAAGAAGGTAGTCAAACAACCGAATAACATTACGCCGGCTATGGTCAATGGTACACCATCCATAACGAGGGTAAAAGCATTAAAATAAATGTCAATACAATCAAATAAGGGTGATAGGGAGGGATTTTCAGACCAGTTTTCCGTTACACCCCTACTTATCGTAATTTTTGTTTCTTTTTCTTCTTTCTTCTCTCCCCTTAAGCTCTCCGAACACCTCTTCTGTCTTCTTTTTGCAGCCAGTCCAACGAATTTTATGGGGGCACGACACTTGAGGAACCCATCTGCACCACAGTCCTTGGAAAAACTACACAATCCCTACAAGTTTACTCAACTTCCAACCACCCGTCTGGCTAACCAGAGCTAAAGTAGGTGAGTGGGTAGACCTACTGCATCGGAATCCACCAGAGACCTGGAATCGTTCCGCAAGACCTAGAAGCAAACGCAAAGAAATCATTTGGTTTACACTAGCTCGTCAAAAGACATTGGATATACTGAACAATAATTACCTGAAGATACTCATAGAGTCATACACTGCAAGATGCTTATTTACCTTATCAGCTGATCAGTCGCGTCCCCCGAAAACACTCGACTACAATTTGCATGTGGAAAATTTTCCGACAGACAACTACTAGCAAGCAGTTTGAAAAGAATTCTGCATCCACCGGTTGAGTGTGGCTGAATGAAAAGAGCCGATCCTCATAAAGTAGATATAAGGCTTTAGAAACAACGCTTTCCCTGCACTCTCACAGTTGCTGTTGGATTCACTATTTTTGTAGGTCACTCCAGAGGCGGCAGTCTAAAATTTCTGGTCATGCGTAATGTCAACTTGTTAGGTTCCGGCAGTTTGTGGCTCAAAGACTGTAATGTCCGTCACATTTCCCTGGACAGCTGCTCTGGCAATATTTGCGTTTCTTTTGAGCGTGCTATAAACCTGATTAATGCTGACAGGGTAGGGCCCTTCAGATACTTTTTACGCTTATTTACAGTGTCCTATTTATCGTTTCCTGGATGTTCAGCAAGAGATATTCGCCTGCTATCCAGTATCTCCACCGCTATATGTTATCGCTTCTTCTCGTGAAATAATCCTCTGGCACTCGCTGGACCAACAAGTATGTTTTTTTTGCTACCGGAGTTATCAGCAGATTTGTGATAAAATCACCCTCACGGCTGTGTTGAAGGCGATATGTTTCTCTCCGGACTTCTCAAAAGCTGCTCTTCTAACAAGTATGTAACCATATAACTAAGGATGTTCTAGGTGACGGGCTGGCCCATATTCTGTCATCGACTCTTGAAGTAATATCCAATTTTTCTCTGAACGAAGTTGGTTTCGGATCTGGTAAAGTGCAAAGTCTTCATTACTCTTTTAGCCCTTCCTGTGTCATTAGGTTGGGGTAAAAAGGAGACGCAGTTTCATGGATCGGAAGGCAAGGAAGCAGCTTTAACGAAGCCAGTAAGTAACAAGGTGTATTCATTGCTTGATACCCCCTCATGTGCTATGATATATTTGTTGCTTAGTTAGGGCCTCTGGTCTGTTTTATTGTGATAGGAAGCTTTTTTTTTAACTACCTTTTATGTCTGTTGTGATCCTGGTCTTATAAAGTTCCAGAAGGAGAAAGTTAACTGATAGATTGTTCACTAAACTTCAGTAAGAAGGTGAAAAATAGACTGGCTCACTCAATGTACTGTCTTGTTTTACGGCTTCAAATTGCCTCAAGTCAACACATGGGTGAGCTGGCTTTCACAACTGATTTATGTACATGTTAAACAGATTGGGGTTACTTGGTATATGGAGCATCAGGTTTTGCTGTATCTGGGGTTTTAATGGAGTGACTGGTTAGAAATATACCATGTTCTGATTTCCTCAATGGAGTGTGGACTTCTACAACAAACCAAGTGACATTAAAGCGCATGAAAGTGTTTGAGTTTGCTACATTTTAATCCTGCGTGGGGTAAGCTATTTAGTGTAGGCTTTTCCATGAATAATCAACATACTAGTTTTTGAAGCTATTAGTGTGCTCGATGTTCGATATTCTAGGCTTTTACCCGTATACTGCGTGTGGTTTTGTGAGCGAAAGAACTAACACTCAATGAAATTGAAAAATAAAATAGGACAGCTAGTCAGGAGGGGAAAGCCAATATCCTGTGATAAATTACATAATAAAGGATTATAAAAATAACGGAAGATGTTCCAAATGATCTGTATGAATATAGGTGAAAATTATCTGATAATTTTAGTGTAACAGATTCCAGCAGTCCTCCGGAAGAAATTGTGGTGTAGTTACAACACGTGAGTCTTACCAGTGTTTCTACACTGATTCGTGGTGCTGGGTCACCATGATGTGCTTCTTTTGGAGCAAGTATCCAGCCTTCTGTGTGGTCAGACATTTAATTGGACTACTATTAGCTACAAATAGGTATTCCACATCAAGTCATATAGGATAAGGATGACCATGCTTTCTCTTCTCTTCTAAGATTGGTGTCATGTCATTTATCGATTAACTTCTATATTTAACTTATTGTCGGACGCAAAATAAATCTATTCTTGGTTGTGGGTTTCTAGACTTAGAGTGAACAGCTCACTACCTCGTACAAAGGTGCTTATATTCGTTTTCATAAATAAACGCTACATGAAAAAAGACGAAGCTGTCGAAAACGAAAAAGATATCAATTGTCGGGAAAGCGAATGTTTACCCTGTTGTAACAGATTTTGCACAGTACCATGTAGCTCCGACCACTGTTTTTGCGGTAAAAATTCAGCGACTCGCCTCACGATTCAGATCAACGGTTAATCTTAGCTCTGTACTTTCTTGGTGTGACAACTCAAACCAGTTTTCTTATGATTCTTTGACTAGCTTCAGTAGTGAAATAAACTAGTGTTATCGCATACAGTGTATTCACACCCTTATGTAATCACCATGTCCACGTTGTTTCTATGACTTTCCCTAACCAGAACCCTAACTTCGAAAGTGCTGTGTATTCTCAAAACACACGCGGCAGTTAATTTGACGTCTGTCATGTTACTGTGTACTCTTTTCTTGATACGACGTTTAAGTATGTCACTAACGATCTTCGCAACTCCATATAACTTATCATGCTTTGATAGAATAATGGTATTATTTGGAAAATACACCCAATAATATCTGTATATTTGCACTATCCCACTTAGCTAAGTTTAGCTCCCCGGTTTATGAGACTCCCAACTTGTTGCTAATGTTAAACGAAAACAACTTAAAAAGAAACACTTAGAATTTCACAGAAATATGCTTAACATGAAAACTATATTAAAGGCTGATCGAGGATGTTTGTAGTATTTAGATGCGTTGATGGTGGACCTGATGCATTAAGATTGCTCTGATACCACCCAGATTACTTTAGAGCTGCAGGAAACTGTTAAAGGTTAGCTTTTGAAACCCCTCCACAAGTACGTGTTTATAACCTGTTGCTGATCCTTAACGAATTTTCGACATATAGAGAGACGTTGTCCGGCATACCGTCTGCCGAACTCAGTGATGGATGCAGGTGAAAGACATTAGTTTCGACTATTTTTGAGATTACAGGTGGCAGATTTCCTCTTCTTCTGGAGCACATATCTGAAGAGTGGTCAGGCGTTTGTCCGAGCAAGCATATGTCTGCACCTAAATAAATACAGAGAAACTACTGCAACATGACTGTCGTGTGCGTAGGTCGGCGATAGAAACTAAGATTTTTAATGAGGGGCCAACTAGAAATGTTTAGGAACATGACAACGTCAGTCATCCGGAAAAAGCCTAGCATCATCCTAAGTCTGCTGTAGAAAGCGTTAAGGATCGTAACTGACGGTGGTCGATGTTTATCGGTTGAATTAACTAGCCTGTTCACTTGCATCTAAGAATCAGATATCGTCTCCTGTGACTAGTCTCAGTCAATAATTGTCCCAGTCTTTAAGAGAGAAGAGAAATCCTCATGTAATAGCCCCAGAGAAATCAGTCTAACAGTGTCTAAGATCCTAGGTTCTATTATCATTTAGCGCCCCAGTGAAGCTCGGAGACAGCAAAACTCTAGAAAACTAGGCAGGTTGTAGATCTGGTCGTGGGTGTATTGACCAGATATTCACCCTCCAATGGGTATTGGAGCACAGTTTCCTTACCATCTTGGGACACTAGCTGTGTTTCTTGACCTGAAGGTGGCGTTCAACTCCGTTTATCAAGAAGTCTTACGGTGGTGCCTGTTACGGAAAAGAAGATCGAGTAAGTATATCACCCTGTTGAAGTCTCTGCAGTCAATGTGTCAGAGTCTTTGATGAGTTATTAGGTAGGTTCCGTACATCGATTGGTGTCTATCTCCCAGTCCTCCTTCGACTTTGTCATAGACGTACCTATGGACGCCCCCCCCCTGGCCGTCTGTTTTTACAGGGGTTGATCTTGTTACACGTCAATCCTTAGTAGATGTAGAGTAGAACACACATGACATAGTCCTGTTAGGCGAAGACGCTGAGAAGGTGCAGAGTTTGTGGACAAGTTGAGTGACAATTTTAGAATGAATGGAAGGTTTCTCGCCAGCTACCTGAAAATCGTTGGTTCATGACTGGTCTTCAGTGGCTTCCTTGTTTAACGATAGAGAATGAAGTGGTTCATACTGTTAACGACTTACTTCACCTACCTGGGAAGGAAGTCGAGTCAACTGTGGTGCGTTGGTCAGTGACCGACGAAATCTCTGCACGGATACAAAAGGCTGGATTAGTTTCCATCAACCCCCCCCCCCACTTATAGTGCTGCCGTGATGTCTGATTGTCTATTAGTGGTTGACTGTACTACGTTGCATTTCGCTTTTCTACTATATGGATATGAAACGTGGTGGCCAAAGGTAGAGAACGTGAGAAAACTTTAGGTGTTCAATTCCCGTTGTCTTTATAGTACTTCTCGTGTTTCTTGAAACCAACACATTAGTAATGCAGAAGTCAGTTGTAGAATTTGAGGGAAGAGAGGAAAGTCAATCGATAAGGTTATGGCTGAGGTATATATGACGTCTACCGTCTACCCCATCGCGCAATACTGAAGTAGGTTTAATTTGGAAAAAGGTTACAGACGATTAAACTGAAACATGACATCAGTCCATCAGGTCTTTGACCTTTAGTCTGAGCTGCTCAGGGCAATGTAGACTTCCCGGTTGGGATCTGCGTGACACGTGAAATTTCTGTCTGTTTCAGATTCTGAGTTTTAGGTTTAGGAATCGATGTCACTGGTGCAAATACATCCACATATTATCTTCATCTTGATCTTCACACGGAGTTTTTTTATCACTATTTCATTCATTTTGTTTGTCGTTTTACAACTCTCTTCCTTATTTGACTTCTTTCTTCCTTATTTCTTTATCCTTCATTTTGATGCATTCTCACTTGATGTATTGATGTGGGGTGTGACCACTTGAACCATTACGCAGTAATGCTAGGTCCTACATTGATGCTGACCAGCTAATGTGCAGTGCTATTCCTATATTTATGTTTTATTTTTGTATGGGATTGGAGTTTTTTATATTCTTCTCGCGTTGGGCTGTTTATGTACTTAGACAAAGATGAATAGCATATATTCGTTTGTATTCTTACAACTTACAGGGTGTTCGTCCGATATGTACGTCTGAATAAATAACACGAGTGGATATTGTACTCATAAATACCTTTTTTTCCCTAAGTTGGTCTGTATTCTAGTTATTTGTACATTCGAAGCTCAGTTTCTACGCGAAATGTTCATTCATCACCTTATCTATTACGATTAGCGTAAGTCATACCGTAAAGCTTTGCGCAGTAGGCATGTCCCGTAGCTTACGAGTATAGCCATCTTTGCTGTGATAGGTAGACTTATAAGCTTACTCGATTGTTGCGCAATCACACGAAGTTATTGAAGCCAAATAATGTTTTAGGTATCGATATGCATGTTAGCCAATGATTGAAGTATATCAACAAAATAGAGCAAAACACTATCGTTTATCGGTTCAAGTTGTTACACTTGTACATTACTACACCATGAGAAAATCAGTAGCCTTGCCAGGAAGACATCAAAATGAAAACCAGCCGGAATGTGATAGTAAGAAAGAAATAAAGATATCTTGAGGTTCAGTTCTATCTTATGCCGGTAAACAATCTTCAGAAAACTCTGGAACTGTGGGCGGAGCATGTCGGAAGCAGTCTAACTGACTCACGGCTCTAGAATCTTTAGTTTCAGTGTGTCGTACACCATGATCAGTTAACACTGACTCACCTAACAAAGCGGAGGTCCATAAGAAACTCCAAGTTTTGAAATGCCACAAGACACCTAGCTCAGTCACCAAAGGATGGAGGGACGATTGTAGTCTAGGAACTGACTACAGAAGGTGTGGCAGACTGGGAGTTCCATCACTCCGGAATGAAACTATCGTTCATCTTTGAAAAGGGTTTACATAATGTATGTGACAATCATCGGGGTATTATTCTTTTGTCAGTAGCGCCGAAAGTATTAGATGCTATCATGCTTCATAGACTTTTCAAAACGCGTGAGGAACAATCCGGGTTTCGTTCAGGTTATGGACGCATTGGTCATGTGTTTACGGTCCACCAGATGCTTGAACATCACCATACGTATTGCAGGCTAACAGTCGTGTTTCTTGACATTACGGCTGCCTTAGATTCATTGGACATGGCTGTACTATGGAGTTGTCTGTTAGAGAGGGGCGTGCCTGAAAAAATTATTAACATATTCATAGCTCTACATAAGAACCCCTCAGGTAGAGTGAGGGCATACAACCACCTGTCTCCATTGTTCCAAACCAGCAATGGGGTTAGGTAGGGTTGCCCGATTTCCCCATTCCTCTTCAATTTTACCATCCAGGACATTCTTGAGACAGCTCTGAAGAAGATACGTGATGGTGGTGTGGATCTTCTACCTGGAGAACGGCTCTTCAACCTTGAATATGCTGACGATATCGTCTTACTGTGCGGAAACTCAGGCTACTCAAATCGCACTTAATAAGTTGACGAATAGTATCCGTAAGTATGGTATGTACTTTTCACCATTGAAGTGCAAAAGTTCTTTTACAAGATTGGCAAAAACCTGTGCCAGCGTTCATCCTCGGTGGTAGGTCGAAAAGTTGATGTGTCTGGGTAGTTGTGTGAGTGATGAAATTCTCAACTGCATATGGAAAGTCGAGTGGGATATGCCAATCTGTGTCACCTTTGATGCCGTCACGACGTTAGTCTTGCCGTAAAAGATCAGGTTTACAAAGCTTCGGTGCGAGCAGTTCTGGGCTACGCCTGGGGAACCTGGCCTCTACCGGCTGAGGATGTACGACAACGCTGTGTTCGACCATCGTTGTCTCTGTAGGCTTGCTCATATCCGGTGGCAACACCTTGTAAGTAATTGTGAGGTGCTACAGCATGTGTTTGGGCATGTTAGAGATAGAGAATGTTATTCAATAAGTGGTCATCTGGTAACATTGGCTTCGGTGGCTTGGACAAATGTTACGCATGTCGTGCCAATAGCTTCCATACTGTTCGTTGTTTGGTAGCCGTTGGACTGGATGGAAGAATCGTAGGGGTGGTCAGTGTATGTATCGGGTTATCATGTGTTGGTACATCATTACTCCATGTATGGGATCCGAGAGATCATGTAACTCAAAGGCTTGAGGCATTATGAGATATAGCTGAGAATAAAGACCAGGGGTGGTCATGGTGTAGCTTCGTTTTATCTTCTGCTTCTGAAAAGTAGCGAATATTTGGTTTTGAATGTATCTTACTGGAATACCCTTCTAATCATGTTATTCTTGTTGTGTTTTTCTCGTTTACTTGTCCACTTCCCATCGCTTTATATCTTCATAGTGTTGTTATATTATTTTGTGTGGTACATTTGTTGATGCCCTTGGTGTACCGTGTTTATGTTTTAATAATAATAATAATAATAATAAATATGAGGTGGAAATGTGTCTACTCCCCCGCATTTCAGTTAATAAATTGTGACACATATAGCTATTGCTTCTGCAACCATAGCCGATGGTGTTATACTTTTAACTTGTATCTGGGAGACATCTGCGTTTCTATTTTGGTATCACTATCCCCAATTCGTAAGGAGAGTCACATGGTAAAGATATGTTTTTTAAGTTAGAGAGTATCAATAATTATCATATTTGGTAAAACTCTCGGATATCATTTTATCCTGGATGTTCTGCATATTTCTCAAATGAACTTATTGATTCCTACACTATCGACTAGATATTTCTGCGTAAAGATTGATAACGGTAGTTGATACATTCTGTTAAGTGTGTCAAATCAAAGCATGTATATATATATATATATATATATATATATATATATATATATATATATATAGGCAGGCAAAAACTAACAAGTTGACAAAAGAGGCAGCGAAGACGGGACTTCAAGTGAATATAGAGAAGACGGAGATGATGAAGATACCCAACCAACACCAACAACAACAAGCTCCAATCACTATCAACGGGAGAAATTTAAAGGAAGTAGCCTCTTTCATCTATCTAGGCAGCACTGTTTCAACTACAGGCAGCACAGGTACAGATGAGGACGTCAAAACCAGCCAGGATCGGAGAAGCAAGACAGGCGTTCATTAATCTGAAAGCAGTGTGGAGATCTTCTGCACTCAGCATGTGGAACAAGATCTGGGTTTCTAACACTAATTTCAGTCAAGTCAGTGCTTCTATGTGATAGTTGAGAGATTCGGCGCCTTACAAAAGGGATTTCCAACACACTAGAGACTCATCAAAAACTGTCTACGCTGGCTCGATACTGAAGATTAGATGACCAGAAAGAATAAGCAAAAAGGAACTCTGGCGACGAACCAACCAAGAACCTATCGCTGAACAAATATGCAGAAGGAAGTGGAGATGGATTGGACATACACTGAGAAGACCATTTGGGGACATCACGCGCCAGGCACTCGAATGGAACCCAGAGGGCAAACGACGAATTGTGCGTCTGAGGTGAGGGTGACATGGAGGAGATGGTGTGAGGAAGAAATGAGAGCTTTTGGGCAGGCAGTCGTGGCAACAGGTCCAAAAGTTTGCAGAGAAGAGAGTGGAATGGAGACGTGTTACTCAAGCACTATGTTTCAGTAGGAACCCAAGGGAAAAAAAAATAATAATAATAATCAATAGTTGGAATCATGTTAATTTCTAGGTGTCTATAGTCTTTACAGTTGTTTGGTAATACAAATAGTAACCAGAGAAGGGTATATCGATATCACACTGAATATTGAAAAATAGTTGTAGCGATAAATAAAAAGCTTAGAGGATTAAGCTATATAATCCCATCCCCCATGATAGTTTAAATATAACCCAAATAACATGGGCGAGATTAGAGCATATTTGTAGATCTCTTACAACTAATATATGTTTAAAGCATTTAAAACAATCTTTTCGAGGTAGTACTTATTACGGACTGATGTAATTTGGGGGACGATGTAGGAAAACCCTTAGTGCACTGTGTAGCTGTTTCATCCTAGTATAGGGCTCATCAGCAGTGTTCATCCGCTAACCTGTCAGGAACGAAACCCAGTACAGGTAGTCGTTTTTCACCACTCAAATGCAAATTGTTGCTCCAGGATTGGTCTTCAACGGTGCCCCACCGCTGCTAACAATACAGAGTGTAACTGTTAAGTGTGTCGATCACTTCACTTACCTAGGAAGTAGGACCAGCCCTAGTGGCTCAGTGGCCGACGAAATTTCTGCACGAATACAAAAGGCTTGGTTGGCTTTTGCCAACTTACACCGCTCCGATATCCAATTGCCTATTAAGAGTCGCGTGCACTGCACAGCAGTCCGCTCTGTTCTACTATATGGCTGTGAAACGTGGCCATTGAAGGTGGAAGACATGAGAATGCTGGCTTCAAGTGTTTGACCACCGTTGCCTTTGTAGCATATACCGTATTCCGTGGTGTTACCACATGAGTAATTATACAGGAGTCTAGTGTAGAGTTTTAGGGAGTAGAGTTAAGTCAGTTGACGAGGTCATGAAGCTTCATCGTCTGAGATGGTTGGGACACGTACTACGTATGCCTAGCCACCGTCTGTCTCATCACACAATGTTGGCTGAGGTGGGTGCAGGCTGGAAAAAGGCTCGAGGTGGCCAGATTAAAACATGGCATCAATGTATGAAGTGTTTGACTGTTGGTTTGAACCATGTGGGGGAATGCATCCTGAGTGGTTGGGGGCCGTGGGACAAGAGGAACCAGTGGCTGGAAACTGTATGTGATATGGCTGAGAAGCGATATCAGTGGCACAGATGTTAACACATATCATCCTTATCTCAACGACGCTATACCGAATCTCACCATTTTCTCAGTATTACTTTCTTTCTTTTCGTGCTTTATATTTCTTTTGACTGAATTTTCTCTTCTTTGCTTTCCACTTCACCAGCTTTTTACTTGATGTGGTAATATGAACTGTAGCAGTAATACCTGGTTTTATTTTGATGGTGACGATGATGATGATGACAGGCAGGTTTGAAGAGAACTTAGTAGGTGTAGCAGGATTCAAACCCACGGCCCACTGGTTGAAAGTCTTCCCCCTAAACCAATGAACCACAGGTCCACTTCACCACGGACTGACATCATTTGGAGAACCATTGAAGAGATCTGAGAGCACTGAGCAGCTGTTTCATCCTAATATAAGACTCCTCAACAGTGCTCACCAACTGAAATCAGTCTATAATGAATACTACCTTGAAATAAACCTTCACGAACTTCCAAGCTCAATTTATAGTTTTTAAATAACACTGATCATGTTTAACATTAAAAACAGTGACAATTGTAAAGATAATCTAAGTGATATCACTAGGCGTTTCTTTTACGTAACTGCCATCAAGTGTAGTGACTTTAAACTGTGGAAGTAAACATTATAAAGGATTACTGAGTACCGCTATGTATGCTTTCATGTCGGATAACCTGATGGGAAAAGCATCAAATGAATACAACTGTGGTAATCATCAATGAATAGTGTTACAAATGTTCATTTTTTATTTATTGACACTTTTAATTTCCCGTTATATTGAGTCAAATTGATGAATCTCTGTTAGAATATAAGTTTTTATGCAGATTCCTCGATATTGTCTGAATGTTCATTATTTTATAATATACTTGGTGGTGGCTAGGATTAAAATCCAAGACATACATTTTGTCCTATTTAGGACTCGTCAGTTGGTTGCACCTGCACCTCACCACTCACTGAGGTACGGGTGTTTCCGGCCGACGAGTACCAAACAGCACAAAACGCACGTCCTGGGTCCTACTGTTAACCACCATCAAAAAGACTAAAGTGTTTCATTCACTCATCACACCTAACCGTTTAAAATCCTATTCATCCATCTTTATTTTTCTTCAGGTACTACCAGTTATAAATACTCAGTACGATGATGGTCGTTTCGAAGTTGCTTGGCGTGATGATGGCCTTTATTTTGCAGTATCATGGTTGGATCCATCAGCAGAAAATCGCAGGCGTATACGTGTCTACAATGATTCTGGTGAACTATTCTCAACAACTGAGATAACGAATATAATTTCTCCTGGACTTTGTTGGAGGTAGGTAGTACTTCGAGACATTTTTTTTAAAAATCGATAGATAGTTGAGTGTAATATTGGATCGTTGTTTATTAACAGTGATGTAATTCTGTAAACACTTGTTTATACATTACAATTTTATGGCTAGAAGGTTTACTTCATATTCCTTTAACTTCGACACCCTGAGACTATTATTATCTGTTTCACAATATATTTGGTTCACACTCCACTAACCATAACATGATACTTTCTGGTAATCATCAAAAATGGTAATGAATCAAGTTGATTTCTATGTTATAAGTGAACTCACCAAAAATATTGCATGTTTGCATCCAGTAACATGACAGAACAACACTGTCAATTTGTGTATAGTTGCAAATCATGAGTTTGGTTCTCAGTTCCACAGCTTCAAGTCTCCACTCTACATATTTTAGTACCATGGCTAAAAAATCACCTTTACTATTTCATTATAATAGTCTTTTTCCAACTGGAACTCACAATATTGGCCGAAGTAGGTTCAGGCTGGAAAATGTCTTGGAGCGGCTAGACTGAAACATGTCATCAAGGCATTAAAGTCCTTAACTGTTCGTTTGAGCTATGTAGGGTGATGCAGACTAGCCGGTTGGGGTCCGCAAGAGTGTAGGTGATGTGGCTCACTAGCGCAGATGTGCACATGCACGCTTTCCTCATCTTGACCCCCTATACTTAATCTCATCATCTCATTCTTCCTCTCTTTCTTTTGTTACTCTCTACTTCTTCCTTTTACCGGTTTTTCTTTCCTCCATCTTCTATTTTATTGCCTTGTTACTTAATGTGGTGATATGAGATGTGGCAACTTAGGCCGTTAAGCAGTAATGCCTGGTTTTATGTTGATCTTCGTAATGATGGTCACGGGAGACCAACCAATCTCAGGCGGAACATCAGGGTTGCAAATACGCCTTGCTGACGAGTGCCAACAACCATGAAACAAAGATCCAAGGCTTCTTGCTGATTGCCTCCAACCAACTAACACGCCTAGGTTCTCTCCTGGTCTGAACCTATGAAATAGTGAATAAAATTCATGTCTTTAGATCCCTTAGGCATAGATAGCTACACCCATATGAATATGGGAAAATACACTAACCCCTCAAATTAGAACATATACATTCAAATAGGAATAACATACGAGAGTACTGTCATTATTCATAAAGTACCAGAAATAGTGTCTAGTTTAGTTAACCGAGTACAGAGTTATATAACTAATTGTGCGAAACTATCACAAAGAATTCTGTTCAAAAGCTTATTCGATCCAGCCTTCCAAAGTATAAAGCAGATTAAAAGTCAAGATGAGAACTTCTTGAAAAAAAGGCCAAAAAAGATAGATTATTACAACGTGTAGTCATACTATGATTCTATTGTAGGAAACGACAAAGATTGAGACACAGGATAGAATGTTTATTATTAGACCTTGTACTGTACTGATTAAATATTGTACACCACATTGAAATAGTCATTTGCACAATCTGTTTCATTTCCTCTTCTACTTCTATCTCGAATTGCTTTTAATACGTTCATATTGTATCTTGCGTTTCTCTATGCAAAATATTTACCCATCTCTGGTAACTGCCTATGATTTCTGCCATCGTCTCAATACATACTACTTATACCCATCCTTATCAGTAGCACCTACTACATTATCATAATTGATAGAATGAGATTCATGGTTGACTGCTCAAGCACATTAATAGAATACATCGCTTATTATTATCGTATTTTTGAGAAGAATTGAGGGTTTTTAATTTAGAAATAGTATTCATCATGGACTGACACCAGTTGGAGAACCATTGGAAACCTGGAAGCGGCTGTTTCGTCCTAGCGTGAAACTCCCCGGCAGTACGCACCCATGACGCGGCTAGGGATCGGACTCAGGACCTTCAGGTTTAACGTCGAACGAGTTAACCATTCAGCCACTGGATCGATTCCCAGTGGTTCACAATTTCCAACTTCTGTCAATTCACGACATAGCGCGACTGTCACCCAAGGTCTTCAGTTAGCATCCACTTCACATCCGGCTGGTTGACCCCACAGGTCACGGCTTCTTATTAGAGTTTCGTGATATCCATCTGGAAGCAAGTCACTAATGAGCACTATAGAGTAATGTATTTTTGAGATGAATGGGGATTTTTTAATTTAGAAGAAGTTGGAAATTGTGAACCACTGGAAACCGACCCAGTGACTGAATGGTTAGCGCGTTCGACGTGAAACCTGAAAGTCCTGAGTTCGATCCGTAGCCGGGTCATGAGTGCGTACTGTTGAGGAGTCCTATACTAGGACGAAACAGCTGTCCAGTGCTCCCAGATTTCCAATGGTTCCCCAACCGATATCAGTCCATGATGAATACTACTTCCATATTATTATTATTATTATTATTATTATTATTATTATTATTATTATTATTATTATTATTATTATTATTACTATTTTCATTTTAGACCTCGTGTCCAGTTGATTACTACTGTTCAAAGAAGAGAAGGTCGTGGATTAGATATTATATTTTTTGAGTCTAATGCACAACGTCATGGGGAATTTGAACTACTCAAGGGTGAATCTGAAAAATACTATCAAGTTGAATCAATTGCATTCAATCCTATTGGTTCAATTCTAGCTATCTTATGTAGTGGAATACAGGATCATCCATGGTTTAGTAAATAATCTTTATAATTTTATTGATATGATTATTTAAGTAATGATAAGTTTGCTTTTATCCTTTTTTGCAAATGGAATGATTCTCTTTGTGTGATGAATTGGTTTCAAAGAATGATCCTATTGAAAAGTGTCTTACATTTCATTAAGTTAATTGAAGTACTTACAAAGAATAGTGGTTGCATTTAAGAACCATTTAAGGATTGCCAGATGTTTTTATAGTCATGTTTGTACTTCTGTGTTGAGATTATTTGTTTCAAAGACAACAATGCTATCCATCTCAGTCGATGAAGGTTGGGACACGTACTACGTATGCCTAGTCACCGATTGCCTCGTCACACAATGTTGGCTGAGGTGGGTCCAGGCTGGAAAAAGGCCCGAGGTGGCCAGACTAAAACATGGCACCAATGTATGAAGTCTCTGACTGTTGGTTTAAGCCATGTAGGACGATGCAGACTAGGTGGTTGGGGTCCACGGGACAAGAGGAACCAGTGGTTGGAGACCCTAGGTGATATGGATCAGAACCGAAGTCAGTGGCGCAGATGTATACACACATTATCCTCATCTTAACAACGCTATACCGAATCTCACTATTTTGTCACTCCTCTTTCTTTTCTTTTCGTACTTTATATTTCTTTTGACTGCATTCACTTCATCCTTCATCTTCATCCTTCACCTCACTACCTTTTTACTTGATGTGCTGATATGAGGTGTGGCAACTCGGACCGTTACGCAGTAATGCCTGGTCCTATGTTGATAATGATGATGATGATGATGATGATCAGGTTAATTGTTTACAATAACAGCCTTAAAGAGCTCATACACCACTACAGATTGCTCAATTTAGTCCTACATAGGAAGCTGTCAATACTAATTACTATCCATTAAGCAAAAGAATGGAAATTTAGCTCATTGGCTGAGATAGTTACCTTTCAACCAGTGAGTCACAGGTCCGAACGCCTCTCCACCAAGTGGGGTTGCCTATTGCCGAAAACGCGCACAAAGTTTTGGAATGCGTAGTTCAGTTCAGTTTCACCAGACAAGAAATGGGTATCGAACTTTAAACATTCAATGTTCGAGGTGGCAAATGCCAACTTCATGTTTTCGTCAGAACATGAGCATTCCCTTACATACAGGAAGGAAGTTGTGTTTTATAAATCCTACTTTTAACCGGTAGTGAATATAACTGCAGACTTTATTCAGGCATTTGTTCAAGAAGACCATATACCAATATGAACTTATCGATTCACTGATGGTAACTCAGTAACAGGAAACTTGAATCTACAATAACACTATTTTCTAACATATTTCTGTTTTCACCTTTTACGTAAAGGCTATAAAATATAGGGCTAGTTAACTAACTCTAAAAAAGACTTCACATTGTTTGATATTCAGTACTTGTGAGTGTTTTCACTGTCAATAGAATTTCTATCTCAGTTCACAGACTGAGTTATTGTACAAGATAACCCTAGAATGCTATCCCATCTAACCAGCAACTGATTATAACACGCATTATGATTTCAATATATGATTGATCATTTTATGTATTTCTAGCATGATACAAAGGGGAACTTCACTTATTTTCTGTATCATTTATCCACCGCTTCTGTAAGTATTTGAATACAGAACTCATGGAAGTGTCTATTTACCTTTTCTCCCTTTCATTCTATATCAATTTTTGTGTGTTGCTTCTTGGTTCACTGCACAACTGTCGTAACGATTTGACTGACCAACCACATGAAGGTTAATCCACTATACTTTAGAGTATACCTATCACAAATCGTTCAATCACACTACTTGATTGCTTAAACCTGGGTAAAATGAAGTTGAATCGAAACGTACTGATTTAGTGAATCAAAACTCTTCGAGCTAGCATCATTGCACTGATTGAACGTAGTGTAGGACGGAGTCGTTGAAGTCATCATCATCATAAAACTTCGGTTGTATGAAAGGTTATATTCTTATATATATATATATATATATATATATATATATATATATATATATATATATATATATATATATATATATATATATATATCACTAAACCTTGATTAGTTATCTCTCTTTTCAAGTTTACTGAAGAAGGATTTCGGTTATCTCAAAATGTTTTTGATTATGTTGTATTATAAAACACCTGTTGCTAGGACTATAGGTTTTGAAGAAAAATTTACTGTTACTATGAAACTGACTAGGAATTGTTAAAGTTTTTTCCTCTTTGAATACTTTAAATCTTTTTTTATCGAAAATTATCATCAACTTAAATTGAAAATCATCTTTATAGTTCGTCTACTAACTTGTTCAAACTATCATTGGTCTACAAAGCAACATTTCTGTATTCAATCTCCATTGAATGGTGATAAGATATCCAGTGTCTCATTAGCCTGGGATATTCATGCATACAGTACAGATTTATCCACACTTTATTGTGCTGTATCCATCGATAAAGCAGTTGTAGAGAGTGAAAAAGGTCAAACACTTTTACAATGTTGGAAAATGAATACTGCTTATAATTCATCGTGTATACTAACAAGTTGTGGAATCAATATGACAGCATTGAATTCTGGTCTTGTCACAGTAATTAACGGAAGTAAGTTATCATATTCACAATTCACTTATGTATGTTAACAAATTTTAATTATGCACTTTCACTTTTGTATAAGTTAGAATAAGGATCAGAAGTCGGACCCTGTAGCTCAGTTGGTACGGCACCAAGGAGGTAACCCAGTAGTCGCTGGTTCGAATCCGACCACAGTCTTAATTTCCATTTCACCTCCACTCACCACCCAGTATCAGTAATACTAGTCTGCCAAACCATGGCAGATATTCGAGATGATAAGGATCAAAATGGCAAATTGAGTTAACTGTAAGGTATTTAACGTGGCGTGACAAGGCAAAGAGTATTTTATTTTCATACGTTCAGTTCCTTTGACAAATTGATGCGTCTTTCTTGGCATATAGGCTCCTGCGCGGATGCCTCGATATTGCGTGTGTTTGAATTACATATTATTGATGGATAGTGGCTAGCAATGGAATCCGGAACGCGCGTTTCGTCCTGTTTGGGATTCATCAGGTGGATGTGCCTGCACCCCAGTGAACGATGTCGTTCCCAGTAGGACTTAGACTCGAGGCCCATCGTTTCAAACGCCAGGGCGTTATTCACTTGATCACTGAGTCACTATAGGCACTTCTTGTACGTCCTGGGTTTCACTATCTGATGAGATGGAAAATTCTGGAGCTGTGGAGAGGAAGACAACAAACAAACATCAGGGTACAAGAAGGGGTTGTTAACAAACCATCAGGTTACGTAAATAAATGAAAAGATTGGAAAAACGTTAGGCTGAGTGATTAACAATCAGTAAGTAATTAATGAAGAGATGATGCAGTCAAAAAAAGAAAAACTATATCTATACATATGCAAAAATTACCTACAGTTACCAGGATAATTAAAGGTTAACTACAATCTCCTTCTGAGTACACAGGTCAGGTTGAAAATGTTTGATGGTGAGAGCTTCCACAAACTGTAATAAACATGACATTGTTTCGCGTTGAACAAAAAGCTGCCACCGTAGGTAAAGTTCACCTTTACCGACTTTAAAAATGGTTTATATAGCGACCAAATCAGGTTGTGTACATAACTTTGAGTTCAACCTATGGTTGGGTATCTTCATCACCTCTGTTTTCTCCACACTCACTTGAAGTCCCGTTTTCTCTGTCTCGCTTCTCCTGTCAACTTCTTAGTTTTCACCTGTAGATCTTCAAGTTTGTGCCACAAGACATTAGACATAAATCATCATCGTTGGCGAAATCCAACTCTTCTAGGCTCTTTTCATCTGTCCAGCGTATGCCTATCTTCTCGCTTCTCACTGTTTGCTGCATGATCCAGTCCACCACAATCAGGAATTTCGTGGGTGATAGTAGGCAGCCCTTAGATTTCATCGTATTCTAGTACTACAGTAGTACTGACTTTTGTTGCCTTATTCCAGATAGGCTTAAAATGTACTTCTTATATAAAAGTGCCCAAAAATTTTTTGGCTGTTACTCTTCAATTTAAAGTCTGTACGCTATAAACCGCATCTTCCCCCTCAAGAAAATACCATTCATCTTTTAACTGATTCATGCTTAGTGTCTGTCCTTCAGGAGTAATATTCTGTCGTATGGTTCAACCTTGAAGAATACGATTCCTTCAGTATATACTACGCTGTCTTACTTTTCAATAAACTTTATTCTATTTTACGGAGTAGAAATTGGGTTCTTATGGTAGATTATATAGGTATGATTATGGGGGATGGATTGTACCTCGATGTGTCACATAGTATAATTATTACTGTATCAGTATGCTGTTTATTAAAACAACCAATATAACTCGTAAATCTACTTCAATTTTAAAATCTGTTAAATTGTTTTCTTTACTAACGTGTTCTGTGTACTATTAGCAACGAACTATCTTTGATATTCCGAAAACTTCAGTATGATAATTCATCAAACACATGATTTAACTATTTCTTCCATTTTGACTTTTTAACTTCCTTCCTGGGATTTATTAGCATATTCATTATTGTTTATCTCTCACACCAACCGAAGTGTTGCAAATATTTGGCACTGATTAAAAGGTTGGCATTAGATGTAGTTTATATTTGTGTAAGTCACAGAATGTTTGAAATGAAATAATTCCAACGTTGTTTCGTACGAAAGTATGGTCCGAGCTGCCTCAAAGAAATAATCCTGAAGATGTTTTCCATAGCGTTGCTCATGTATGGCGAAATCACTTTGTAAGTAATGTTGAGGTCAGGGGAACGGTAATGAGCTAGATAGGCAAGTTGATTGATGAAGTTGTGAAACTTGGTCAACTGAGATGCCTTGGACATGCGTTGCGTATACCGATCCACCACCTACCTTGACGTGCCATGCCAGGGAAAGATAGATTAGGTTGGAAGAGTTTTCAGGGTCGCCAGACCAAGACATGACACTAGTTTTTGAATTCTCTTACTGTTGGTCTGAAAAATCCTTATTATTTTCTTTTGATAGAATGATTTTTGTCAATTAATCTCCTTATGTAGAAGTATCTTTGTACAAACAACATAATACTTGTAAATCCTTTATAGAAGATCGTTTTATTTATTCGTCTTAAGTTGAATACGGTAAATGAGATATTCTTACTTTCAAAGAGGATTCGTTTACTCTATGGTTGAGTAGAATAACATCTGGATGATATAGGAGGAATAATTAACCCCCGCCCGTCCCCTAGTTAAGATAATTGGTCATGTAGTAAGGCATTATAGACTAGCGACAGTAGTCACTTTCCTGATTTTCTCATAGTCAATACATATGGTTGGCGAAGATGAAACAAACTAACCCGAGTGACCTTGAATAACCAATAAGAACGCTCTATTGTTAAAGTATCTACTAACTATCAATACCACCATCTCTTCCAATGAGAAACTGAAAAATTCTTTGACAATATATACGTTTAAACTTTCCTACATAACTATTTCCTCACTTTCCTATTCTTATACTAGTAAATACATCCTTACCCCTTAAAATAAGTTCTTGGTTTACGACGAATTTGATTAGTTGCTAAAAGTCATTTTGGTATGGCGTTGGTTTTGGATCTCTCTCATAAAGAAGAGAACTTATATAAATTAATCCTGGAGCTAAAATTGACATTCGATTCTGTCGATCCACAGGTCTTATTGCATTGTCTGTCATTGAAACAAGAGCTGAGTAAGTACATCACTTTGTCGAAGGCTTTGTACTCGAATACTCGTGAGCGTGTTAGGAACTATAGTTATCATCTGCGTTATGTATGCCTATTGTCTGTCAAGGGTGTTCACTTTTTCCATTCCCCTTCAACTTTATCATAAACCTACTTATGGAGGCCGCTCTCACATCATCTGACTTCACAGGGATTGATCTCGTTGCAGGAGAATCTTAAGTAGATGCATAAGACACAGTCCTGTTGGGTGACAAGATGCAGCATTTTGTGGATACTTTGGCAATTCGAGAATGTTTTAGATGGGTTGGTGTGAAACTGGTCTTTAATGGTTCCTTGTTCAAGCAAAGGTAGTGACATAGTTCACATTGTTGATGACCTAATTTACTTATCTGGGAGGGAAGTCGGGTCAGCTCTGCTGCCTTGGTCACTGACCAGCGAAATCTCTGAACGCATACAAAGGCTTAATTGGGTTTCACCAACCTGCACCACTTATGGTACCATCGTGATATCTGATCATCTATTAGTGGTCGAGTATACTACATCACAGTCCACTTTATTCCAGCATATAGCTGTGAAACATGGTTGTTAAATGTAGAGGTCATGAGAAGACATCGGGTATTTTACCACGAGTTGCTTGATAGCCCAGATCGTGTGTGATAGTGTCAACAGGTGAGTAACGTGGAAGTCAGTTGTAGAGTTTCGGGTAGGAGAGGAAAGGAAAAGAGAGTAGAGGAGAGGAGAGGAGAGGAAGAAACAGTTGATGAGGTTTTGAACGTTCATTGATTGAGATTATTGAATTATGTATTACATATGGATGATGCATTTTATCGTATCATGTAATGTTGAGTGAAATTGATGTTGTTTGTAGAAAGGTTAGAGGTGACTAGACTGAAACATGGGATCAGTGCATGAAGTTTTGGACCGTTGGTTTTGAGCCGTGCAGGGAAATGTAGACTATTCGATTGTGTTCCGTGAGACAACATAAACCAATGGTTGGAGACTGTAGGCGACATGCCTCGGAATCGATATAACTGGCGCAGATGTATCCACACATTATCCTAATTCTAATCATCATACTGAATTAAGCACTTTCTTATTCCTCCTTTCTATCTTTTGTTATATGTCTATCACTTTTGACTACTTTGTTCGTTTTTTCCTTGTCCTTCGTCTTGATACCTTGTTGCTTCATGTGATGATATAAGGTGTGGTAAGGTGATGCGCTCCGCAGTAATGTCAAGTCCTATTTCGACATTTCCTGTCTGTAACTTATTGTTAATCTTTTAGCGAAGAGAATACTATAAACAGTAATGCCATCATAGTGATATATTCGTTAATAGTGGTGTCCCCATCAACGTTTTTGAACTTATTCGCTTATAATGGCTTGTTTCACGACCATCTGTTAGTATTTATTATGAAGTAATAAATGTGCAGAAAATGCCTAAAGGCGGTTGTTATGAGGCGCTTACCGAAGGAAAGTGACGCCAGTCTCTCAATCCTATGGTACGGTAACTATGCTTCGATTCGCGGGTTTGTGGGGATTTAGTGATTTTCCAACTTGGTATTTATCACGGACTGGTATCAGTTGGAGAAACACTGGAAATCTGGGAGGACTAGATAACCGTTTCGTCCCAGTACGGGACTCCTCAGCAGTGTGCACCCATGATCGCTCACCTCCAAGTTCCATGACCAACACGTTACCATTGAGCCACTGTGTCGGAATCCATGGTTCATATTTCGAACTTCTGTCAGTTCACGATATAGCGCGACCATCACCCAATGTCGTCGTTGAGTATTTGTCGTCACGTCCACCAGGTTTATCCCACCGGTCGCAACTTCTCTTTGGAACTTCAGGAATTACCTCTCGAAGCTAGTCATCAATAAGCACTAGACCAATTAAATTTGGGGGTTTGTGGGGATTTAGTGAATATCAACTTGAAAAGTCACTAAATCCTCACAAATCGTCAAACTAAATTAGCAATAATTTTGATGTACAGCTTATGACTTGTTAGTCTAAGTGAAACTGATCCTACAATCTGTCTGTGTTTTATTGGCTTAGACACTCAATTTTCAAGCTAAGGAACCTGAGTTCGAATCCAACTCTCTGACTACTTCGGTCTGCCCAATGGCACAGTACCATAAGACTTCACACAGTAGTTGTTACTTAAAGCCTAGCGTAAAACCATATACCGGGTTGAGTTGCTTTAATCTTAAGGAAATGTGTGATGGTGGTGCAGATCTTCTACCTTAAGAACGGCTCTTCAACCTTGAATATACGGACGATATCGTCTTACTGTGCGGAAACTCAGGCTACTCAAATCGCACTTAATAAGTTGACGAATAGTATCCGTAAGTATGGTATGTACTTTTCACCATTGAAGTGCAAAGTTCTTTTACAAGATTGGCAGAAACCTGTGCCAGCGTTCATCCTCGGTGGTAGGTCGAAAAGTTGATGTGTCTGGGTAGTTGTGTGAGTGATGAAATTCTCAACTGCATATGGAAAGCCGAGTGGGACATGCCAATCTGTGTCACCTTTGATGCCGTCACGACGTTAGTCTAACCGTAAAAGGTAGAGCCTTCAACACTCTGGTGTGAGCCATTCTTGTCTACAACTGGGAAACCTGGTCTCTGGGAACTGAGGGTGTGTGACGACTCTATGTGTTCGATCATCGTTGTCTCTGTAGGATTGCTTGTATCCGGTGGCAACACCATGTAAGTAATTGTGAGGTGTTACGGCGTGTGTTTGGGCATGATGGAGATCATCATGCAATGAGTGAAGTCATCTGGAAACATTGGCTTCGGTGTCTTGGACATATGTTACGTATGTCGTCCCAACGGCTTCCATACTGTTTGGTAGCCGTTGGACTGGATGGAAGAATCGTAGCGGTGGTCAATGTATGACGTGGTGCCACGGGAAGAAGGATAGTTGTATCGGGCTATCATGTGTTGTTGCATCTCGACTCTCTTGGTGGTGTCCGAGAGATCATGCAACATGGAGGCTTGAGACATTATCAGATATAGCCCAGAATCGAAACCGATGACGGTCATTCTGTAGCTTCTTACTATCTTCCGCTTTATTTCTTCATAATGTTGTTATATTATTTTGTTTAGCGCATTTTCTTGATGCCTTTGGTGTACCAATGTTTGTGTTCTACTGATGATGATAATAATCAGATTGATTCAATCCATCTGGTATGTTGACTTCTTCATCGACTCACTCATTTCTTTTCAACAAAATGAATTTTATTTTGTATCGAGGCGGAATTAAATTTTTCGAAATCTAAGCTGTTTTTCAAAATGGATACCCTCTACTTTTCATTAGAAAATTTTTTTTTGAAACTAGATATATTTTAGAAAACTACCAGAATGTTTCCAAAGAAGAGTTTATTGATGAATTTGAAATTCAAGGGGAATATTATTGGTGATGTTATCTGAACAATCATCTGACCAGTTCAATGCAAAAAGCATTTCTTATACATTCGATCAACATATTACAGTCATCATTTAACTCATCTCTGCTTGAAATATAACTTGCTACGATTCATCGATTCACAGTACATTTACCAATCCACATATTCCCTGTGTGACTAAGGATTTAGGTTGTTCATTGAAGTGTGTATCCTTTGACGTATTTGGGATCATCTCTAAGCATATCTCTGTAGCACACATTAAGCGTAATCAGTAGCATAGTGGTTAATTCCATAGACATAATGACAACTTTCCAGAACTTCAATGTATTAAATAAATAAATAAATATCTTTTTTCTCAAGTTATGAATTTAACATGAGAGAAGGCGGTTTACAGGTGTCATCAAGTTGATAATTGCAGAGAAACATAAAAGGTTCAAGCAGTTTTAAATGGTACAAAGGGAGGACGTTAAACTCTATCATGATACCAAGTGTCTAAAAGTTATGAAAATAGAAGGAAAATATCACTTGACAGTACATACACATCGTTTCGAGTTTAAGTCATTCCTACTCACAGTTCTTTTTTCATATCAAACGGCGCAATATTCAGTGTTTGCGTGATGAGTGGTCGACATGATTGACCCGTCTGCGAACCCCAGTGTTTCGTCAGATAAACGTCTGTTTTAACAGTAATTCTTATGTTCGTAGCTCTATTGACCAATAATAACCGACTTGAATGATTTCAGGAATAAGTGAGTATCTATACAATCATTTAATCCAGGTAAATGTCCAAGTTCAGGCGTTTCTCACTCTTCAAGTGTTACCTTTCCCAGCAATTCAGATTGGTAGTACTGAAATTACTAGAGAAATCTTTTGCATAGCATTATTATGGATGTGTTGTCATTAGGTAAAGTGATCTCTCGGGTTGGATTGTTTATCCAGATTTCCACTGCATTTGTCATGGACCAGAAATCGGAGACCAGTTATTATGGTTGAGGTTTCGTATGTGGTATTATTTAGGGTACTGGTAGGGAGGTGAGTTGGTTGTGAAGCTGTTCAAGAAACAGGAAATCGAGGGCCAGCCAGTGTTACGTACAAAGTAGGATTTTCAGTAAGTTAATACTTTTTGATGAAACTAATACTTAGGACTTTCTCGTCAGGCTGATAGTGGAAAGAGAAGGGAAAAGAAAGCGCAAGGAGAAACTGGACAATGGAATACCACGTAAAATAAACTGGGAGGAGAGAAGTTCTTGTCTTTTTAGTTATTCAAACTATACGTAAACTTTAACTTATGTATATAAAAATAACTTCATTTTTTTTCTTACATGAAGTTCATGCGAGTTATAAGATAGGCAGTTTTTGTTGGTAAACTTAAAGGGAACAATGGCTATGTATTTGTACTGCACAATCAGACTAGATAGACTAGTAATCAAAAACCCTTTATCAGTCCATTGAGGTATTCAAGAGGAGGAATATGATGTATCTATCTGTTTAATAATGATCAGAAACACAGAACATACGAACTGTGATTTAGCCTTTATTTTGAACTGGTATAAAAGTGATCCGTTTAAGAACATTAAGTCGATGTAATATTGTATAGCTTAACCTCGTATTATTATTATTATTATCATTATGATTATTATTATTAGTCCCTTGGGTTCCTAATGAAACATAGGGATTCAGTAGCACGTCTCCAGTGAACTCTGTTCTCTGAGATCTTTTGAACATGGTTCCACGACAGCCCACAAGCTATCATTTCCTCCTCGCACGATCTCTTCCATGTCACCCTCACCTCGGACGCCCAACTCGTCGCTTCCCATGAGGATTCTACTCGAGCAACTGGCCTGACGCGTGATGTCCTCAGTCGGCCTTCTTAGTGTATGCCTAATCCATCTCCACTTCCTCCTGCATATTTGTTGACTGACAGGTTCTTGGTTGGTTCGTTCCCAGAGCTCCTGGTTGCTTATTCTTTCTAGCAATCCATCTGATCTTCAGTAGCGAGCGTAAGCAGTTATTGATGAATGTCTGTAGTTTATTGGAAATCCCTTTCGTGACGCGCCAAATCTCTGAGCCATACAGTAGCACTGACTTGACGTTGGTGTTGAAAATCCGTATCTTGTTCCACATGCTGAGTGCAGAAGATCTCCACACTGTTTTCAGGCTAATGAACGCCTGTCTTGCTTTTCCGATTCTGACTTTGACATCCTCGTCTGTGCCTCCTGTAGTTGAAACAGTGCTTCCTAGATAAGTGAAGGAGGTTACTTCCTTTAAGTTTCTCCCGTTGATGGTGACTGGAGTTTGTTGTTGTTGTTGGAGTTGTTGGTGAGGTATCTTCATCACCTCTGTCTTCTCTATATTCACCTGAAGTCCCGTCTTCACCGCCCTGCCTCTTCTATCAACTTGTTAGTTTTTGCCTGTAGATCTTCCAGTTTATGTGACACCTCGTATTACTTTGATATTTTATATTATGTATAACTTAGCATCGTTTGATTAACTATCAGAAATCACAATCCTAGATGAGTTGTTTTATATGATTAGTACTATTATCTGTTTATTATAATAGAAAAGAGTCTACAAGATTTTTTTCATTTTCCTCTTTCAGATACTGTTGAAATAAATTCTTTTAGTTATTCTGTTATCCCACCGCCAATGTTCGCTACAAGATTGATATTTGATACTGATAAAGATCAATCCAACAAGTGTAGATCACAGCATACTTTCACTCCATTTATAGTATCAGTATCTACACCAAATATATGGTTATCTTATGAATTTGAATCGTATAATGCTATGCCTATGCTTATTCAAACAATTGACTATCATCAATCGTGTAAAACATTATTTCCAAATATTTATTTTATTACTATGACAACTGGTACTTCATTGGAAAAGGCATCATTTTGTAATGGTGAAGTCTGTGCTGAATGGCATAATGGAGCTCAAAATGTAGCGCCTTGGCCAAATACTGTCGTTAAAATTAAGTAAGATTATTATGATTATTTAAAAGGTTATATTGTTAGTCGAATAAACTTATGATTAGGGTAATTTGTCTAAACGATTATCTTATTATATTATGTAAGGAATTATTCCTAAGGAAGAGAATTAAAACAGATTTACTAAAATTTATATGAATTATATATGTATGTACATGTATTCCTATGACAAATCTAGTAGTGTAATGAAAGCTACTTATAGGAACACATACAAGTAGTATATATAACAACGTTGAAAGTGATAACGATCCACTAGTGAGAAATTGAGCAAAAGGAGCGTGAATAGAGATGTTGAAGAAGAGATTATCTGGAAATGGAAACCATAAGGTTGTATCTTCTCACTAAACAGTATCTTCATTCAAGTGACTGCGTACCCCGATATACCATTCTAAGGGAAGTTGAACTAGGTTAGAAGAGGGTTCAAGGTGACCGGATGTGGCATCAGTCGATAAAATCTCTTATTGTTTGTCTGAGTCGTATGGGGCGATGTAGACTGTCTGGTTGTGGTCGCTGAGATGACAAGAATCAGGGGTTGAGAGGTCTTGGTGACATGGCTGAAAATCAGTTGCAGTAGTGAAGACTTATTCACTCTCTGACATCTAAAGCTTCAATATTTGCACTAACCTTTATATCTTGAAATTCCTTAATCTCTCACATAGCTTTGTCAACTTTGATATCACTCCTTTTCTATCCATCTGTTCTTTGTATACTACTGTGAATTATGTGCCAACTTGAATCGATCCACTTGTATCCGAAGTTTTACGTTGATTTTGTTTGTTCCTTTATCGGCTGTATCTGTTGGTCCATTGAACTTCTCTTCAATGGTACCAGTTTATTCTATTATGGCGAATATTTGTTTCACTGAGTGACGATTTTCAGAGTGAGTTTTTTCTCTGAGCCGGGGTTTTAGTTAGCAAACGTTTCAGTGTCGTGCTAGACATTGTCATCAGTGCTTTAGAGCTTCACATGGAAGTGAAATGATGAGTTTTACATGGATTTACGAAGTAAATCAATCAGTTCAAATGGAAGGAAACTCTAGACGCAAACAAAAAGAAATCATCAGTCAATTCGATTAAGACAACTCATGTACAACACACCAAACTCCTATACTTAAGCGATCAATGCAAAAAGAACTCCCCTCGTTAATAAAATCCAACCATTCAGGCGTAGCAGTGAACACTTCTGTAGTTGGACCAAATCAAACAATCAGGTCAATGCAACCTTGATCAACTCATTCGAACATAAAGCGTGAGTAAATCACGACGTTATGACCTCAGTACGCTGCAAGCAACCGAAAAATCGACCGATCACATAATTCCATACCCTTCTGAGAAAACTAAAGGTCACCAGTCATTTTCAGAATGCCCCCATGCACTCATTTACTGACCAATCAAATCACACTGGCAAAGTAGCACGATATAAATACCTGTGCAAAACCGATTACTTTACTTCTTTATGAAGCTGTGATGACGCTGACGACACTGAAATGTTTACCAATTAAGACCCTTGCTCAGGTGGCAACTCAATTTAAAGTTTATTCTGTGCCTGACCTTTCGTCGGCAAAGCATATAACTTCAACTTAGCTTCACAAAGAGTGGAAGGGATGTACTAAATATGAGAATTGAAATTTTTACTGAGCAGACCACATGCAAGACGACCTGGAATTATTTACCATCGTCTGGTTTCTTCGAGCAACATTCTAAAGTTTATTCTTGTTTGTTACTGGTGAAAATGTACTTGGTACTTATTGATTATTGGAATAATCTACTTTTAGTATAACGAATGAAGTATGAAAATAAAATCTATTGTAAATTTGGTCTAGATAATAGTGGTTAGAAAGCTGCAGTGGTGTGGAGTATTACTGTACAAGTTTTCCGAAAAAACCCTTCACAATCAAGTAGTGGCTACCGTGACTCAGTGATTTAGTGAGGTAACACTTTGGCCTTGAAAACGATTGACCCTAGGTTCGAGTGTTAGTGGGAATAGCATCATCTATCAGCTGACGAGTCGTAAATAGGATGAGACGCGCGTCCTGGATTCCGTTGTTAGCTGCTATTCATCATTAATACTCTTTATAACCATTTTAAACAGCCCAAAAGTTTAAGAGAAGGCACTTAACCATACGTGTAAATATCTGATCGGTTGATAGGCTGAAATCGATAGAAGAAATCCTTATGGAAGAGCTGGAAAGAACCATAGTACATGGTTTAACTTTACCATACTCTTGTTATCTTCTCCCCTTTTGGATTTTCAACTAATTGAGAAACCATCAAAAGCGGCATCTGAAGGTTATTGTTCAAGAGTCCACAAACGAATATCAGCCTATCAAGTCGTCTTAAAAACTACTGAATTTTAACCTTTTTTTCCTTTTTGCAAATAGGTATTCGATATAGTGTATACTACTGATAGCAATGGATATAAGTAGTATATGTTGAGAGGCTGGCAGAAATCAGGGAATTACCAGCAAGACGTAAGTATTCTGCACAGAGAAGCGCAAGAGACAATGTGGGCGTATTAGGAACAAGTCGAGCTAAAAGCTGAAGAGGAAATAAAACAGATTTTGTAAATGACTATTTTAGTGTCATGTACAATATTTTATCAGTACGGTACAAGATGTCATAATAAACATTCTGTCCTGTGTCTGAAGCTTTGTCGTTTCTTTCAATAGTATATGCTATGTGTAGTATTTCTGATGAGCAGTTCATATTCAATAGTTGATTGTATTCGCATAAGCCAGAGGATTCTCTAAATTGTACAATCCACCATAAGTCATTGTAAGATTTTAAGTAAATGAATATAAAATTTTCTACTGAAGGATAGAACTGGTTCAACTCTGCATCAGTCAGTGGTAGTACAATTTTTCAAAGTAGAGTAATTATAGGCATGTAGGCATCGATCACTGTATCTCTTTGTTTTTAACTCTTGTCATAGATTTAGTGCATTGAATCATTGTGTGTGTGTGTGTGTTTTGACAATCTTATTCTTTATACACACTAGTATGGAGAAATTATTTGGTGATCACAAAGATGAAGAATTGAAATCCATCCTACACGAGGTCGAACAGAAAAACGCTTACCTTTTCAGCCGACTAAGTTGTTTCTGTTGGCTTAGTCTCCATGAAGTACTTTTCTTGCTGCAGATGGTCTTCTGTTATGTTATTTGGAAATGAAAAGTCTATATTCTGACAATGATTCAAATATGGAAGTGAACATTTATGGAAGGTGAGAAAATTTTAAGTTTCATTTAATGCTTAGCATGTTAATATTCTGGAATTTTGTAACACTAATTACTAGACATTGATAATTCTTTTCTGAGTTATACGCTGATAATATTGCCTAGACTGACTATGAAACATTGTGAACTATACTATCCAACTCAGAGGACATGAATTCATCAAAATCACTTTCTTCAGCTATGAATATTTCCCACTTTTCCACATTTTGTATGCTTGGTGGCTGATATTACCTGGAAATAGAACCGTTAACCAGCAAAATTACATTTTAAAACCTACCTTCACCTTTGAATTGGTAGCTATGTCGAAGTCTCTTAAATAACCTGAAGTGCTGATACATAGTAACACTGAAGGCGAAAGACTGAAATTGTCAATCATAAAACCAATCTAGAATGTTATCGAAATTTTCTTGTCTTATTCATTAGTGGTTGTGCTGTATTGTAAATTAACAGGTGAAAAACAAATCCCGACCAGGTGACTGGAAGTTAAAGTGATCGTTGTGACATCTAGAGGTATTGGGCGGTCATGAGTCGTCATTGCTGCGAATCAATTAAGTTAGAAGAAAATGCTTGTTTATTGCTGCCTCCTTTCAAATATTCACCAACTGATTTCAATCCGATGCCAACCGATTCTGGTGTAAACGTTTTCTAATCATGCTTAAACATTGTTGATTACCTTGATAAAGTGTCATACAAGTTTACAAACACTAGTTAATGGAGACATTTTAGTACATGTTGGGAAATACGACTCTTCTTTCGAACATTCTACCAAGAATGATCATAAAACCTAGTATATGTATACTGCTAACAGGACTAAGTCTAAGTAGTTGTCTATATATATATATATATATATATATATATATATATATATATATATATATATATATACATATATATATATATATATATATATATATATATATATATATATATATATATATATATATATATATATATATATATATATATATATATATATATATATATATATATATATATAGCTACTTAGACCTAGTAAGTAAACTGGAGTGAAAAGGTCAGTGGTTAGTAACACTGTAGCGAAAAAGATTTCGTCTGCGATTTACGCTTATGGAAGACAACTGAAGCGCGATGGCTAGGATACTTCAAGAAACAGTTCAAATGGCCAACACCTATCATTCCGTTACCCGATATCCAGTCGGAGCCTGAATGGAACATTGAGATTCTGCCTCGAACACTTGAAAAAGTAGAGAAAGCTGTAAGTAAACTGAAATGAATGACTATAAATACTAGTACTAGAGGTATTTAAGGATAGTGGAAGAGGGTTATTGGTCAAATTAACTATAGCGTCAACCAGTGTATAAAATTCAGGTATGATTCCTCCTGACTGGTCTCAATTACTAAGAAAATCAGACAGACTTCAGACTTGGTCGTGGGCTTATCGCTAAAATATTCATCCTCTTACAGGCTCTGGAACGGAGACACGGTTATCCGCGCTTGATATGAGCTGTACTTCACGACGTAAAAATGGCATTCAACTCCATAGATAGGGAGGTTTTATGTTAGTAAATATACCATTCTGTTAAAGCCTCTATACTCAAAAACCCTTGGGCTTCTTACTGCTCATAATTAGTCATCAGGTGAGTTGTGTACATCGTTGACGGACATCACTTGGGCTGTAATAAGCTCTCGGGTTCTTGAGTACGGGAACTGTAACATTCATCTCTAAATTACTAAACATCCCTTTGTACATTATTTCCAAACTATCTTTCGGAATGAAGCCATTATTAGCAATAGTATTAGTCAACTTAACCATAAACGTGCTTATGCAGGCCGCCCTCTTATCGTCTGACTTCACAGGGACTCGTCTTACCACAGGAAAATCCTTAGTAGACATAAAATAGTAAGCAGAGGACATGGTCCTGTTAGGTGAAGACTCATTCTGACGAGATGCAAAGTTTTGTGGACACCTTGGCAATTTGGGAATGCTTTAGATGCGTTTCCCCCCACCCACATGGAAATCGTTGGTCTGGAACTACTCTTCAGTGGATTTATGTTTAAGAATAGGGAGTGAAGTGGTTCAGGCTGTTGATGTCCTAATTGACTAATCTGGGAGGGAAGTCGGGTCAGCTCTGCTGCCTTGGTCACTGACCAGCGAAATCTCTACACGGATGAAAAAGGCTCGATTGAGTTTCACCAACCTGCACCACTTATGGTACCACCGTGACATCTGATTATCTATTAGTGGTCAAGTATGCTGCATTACAGTCCACTTTATTCCAGCATATAGCTGTGAAACATGGTTGTTAAATGTAGAGGTCATGAGAAGACATCGGGTATTTTACCACGAGTTGCTTGATAGCCCAGATCGTGTGTGATAGTGTCAGCAGGTGAGTAATGTGGAAGTCAGTTGTAGATTTTCGGGTAGGAGAGGAAAGGAAAAGAGAGTAGAGGAGAGGAGAGGAGAGGAAGAAACAGTTGATGAGGTTTTGAACGTTCATTGATTGAGATTATTGAATTATGTATTACATATGGATGATGCATTTTATCGTATCATGTAATGTTGAGTGAAATTGATGTTGTTTGTAGAAAGGTTAGAGGTGACTAGACTGAAACATGGGATCAGTGCATGAAGTCTCTGACTGTTGCTGACAAATCTTAACAATCTCAAAATCTAGGTGAAACAGATCTTTCTGCCGATTGCACTCAACCAACTAACACCTTTTGTCTACTGTTTAATGTAATCAGTCTACTCAACTGTTGGCATTCATTTGGGGTGTACTAGAGTTGTTTTCTAGTCAGTGTTCAGTTGTTTCCTTCATTTCCTTTATTTTATTACTATAAAATAAACATTTTGCTAAACTATGCTAAAAGTTCATCATTATTTTTTTCAGATGGTTACTTAGAGCACCTTCATCTGCTCGAGAATTTAGACTGCCAACAGAAAGAGATAATCATAAATCTGCTAGAATATCAAATATTTGTTGTACATTTGATAGACGTGTTTGTGTTCAAATGTCTAATGGTATTGTTAACATTTATTCTGTACAAGAACTATTGAGTAAGTCTAAGTGTAGATTATACAATACACATTCTTATCTTCATCTTTCACCTCATTGCCTTTTTACTTGATGTACTGATATGAGCTGTGGCAACTTGAACCGTTACTCAGTAATGCCTGGTCCTATGTTGTTCATAATGATGATGATGACATTCTGTTAACTGTTTTTTTTTGACTTATTTGTATTAAAATATCTTTCAATACATAAATGGTATACGGTATACCGAGTAAGGAAGCCGTTATCATTTTTATTTCGATGATATAACCATTTGTCATCCAGTTTTGATCACGAGTTGATAATCAACCAATATGGTATGATGATGAATGGAATTGAATATTTTAAACTCTAATAACAACTTCATCAAGTTTCTAAAATACTTTATTCGACTTGATATAGATGAAAGTTTGAGTATTTATGTGTATGTGTGTTTAGCATTGTTCGGCAAAACTTGCAACCAATTTTACTGCAAGAAAAATGAATAGACTTACACTCACATCAGACTTGATCAAGTATAAATTGATACTGTATAACCAATCTCATTGTAACAATTAGTCCATTTGATGAATTTGCTTAGTGTTATAAAAAGATGGAGGTTATCTGAGAAATATGTGATTTATTCGTGCAATACACTGTAAACAGTCTGATCACACATTAACTTGTCAAGGCATTTTATATGAAGGACGAAAATATAGTGGGATAAGATTAATAAATGAGGATAATACAAGATTTGGAAAATATGATGATGACGATAATAATAATAAGGAGGAATAATACATTTTCACACCTCTTTTGGCATTAAAATGAGATAAAGATTACCAAGGTAGGTAAGTTTAAGGCAAGGATAAACTGTTTTTGAATACACCACAAAGGTGATTTAAACTTTCTTAAAGCTTAGGTTTCAATGAACCTAAGTAAACGGTCATCATGACTCCTATCAATTATGTGACCTGTTTCTATAATGCGTTTACCTATCAACGATGACGTCTGTCTATCCTGTGTATTTATCTGATTATTTGAATGTAATTGTTTTTCTAACCATTTAGGGATATGCTCCATCACTGTCGACTTCATAGTTCAATTACTCCCCCAAATGTATGGACAGAAACTATGAAACTTAGGATATTGTCCAGTCGAATACAGTACAAACGCAGTTTAGTTGAATGCTTATTCAAAAGAACCCAAGGCATCTGCACAACAGATACAATGGAAGAAGAATTCAAATTTTTAACAGAGACAATTATGGAAAACGCATATCCTCTGAAGTTCATCAATCGTTATAAAAATATTATACCGATGCAAACTAATCAGTATTCTGTCCCGAAGAAGGATGTTTACATCATGCTACCGTATAAAGGGGAATCAAAAAGTATAATCTTAACGTGAAGACTTAATTCGGCTATTAAAAAGACACACTATGCAGCCAAGCTCAATCTTATCGAGAAAACGGAGCCTATGCTTCAAAATAAACCTCACCACTTCATACATGATTACGTACACATCCTGCTGTGTATAGTAATTTACATGTATGTGCGGTGAAACATACATTGGGAGGAGTAATCGAACTATGAAGTCGACAGTGGTGGATCATATCCCTAAGTGGTTAGATAACCAAATCATTGTCATCATCATTCATTTGTCCCTTGGGTTCCTAACGGAACATAAGGCTTCAGTAGCACGTCTTCAGTGCACTCTGTTCTCTGAAATCTTTTGGACCTGGCTCCACGACAGCCCGTAACCTCTCATTTCTTCCTCGCACTATCTCCTCCATGTCACTGTCGCCTCGGACACTAGACTCGTCGCTTTCCATCTGGGTTCCACTCCACGGCCTGGCCTGGCGCGTGATGTCCCCACTCGGCCTTCTCAGTGCATGCCCAATCCATCTCCACTTCCTTCAACTGTCTATTTATTGAGTGATAGGTTCTTGGTTGGTTCGTTGGTAGGCCACAGTTCCTTGTTGCTTATTCTTATTATTCTGGCAATCCATCTGAGCTTCAGTAACGAGCCAGCGTAGGCAGTTGTTGATGAATGTCTGTAGTTTGTTGGAAATGCCTTTCATAACACGCCAAGTCTCTTAACTATCACATAGAAGCACTGACTTGACGTTGGTGTTGAAAATTGGGATGTTGTTCAGGCTTTATGCTGAGTGCAGTGCAGTGTATCTCCACACTGGTTTCAGGTTAATGAAGGAAGGCCTGTCTTGCTGTCTTTCTGATCCTTGCTGCCTTTGACTTCCTCGTCTGTGCCACCTGTAGTTGAAACAGTGCTGCCTAGCTAGGTGAAAGAGACTGCTTTCTTTAAGTTTCTCCCATTGATGGTGATTTGAGTTTGTTGTTGTTGTTGGTTGGTTATCTTCATCACCTCTGTCTTCTATACGTTCACTTGGAGTCCCGTTTTCTCTGCCTCGCTTCTCCTGTCAACTTGTTAGTTTTCGTCTGTAGATCTTCAAGTTTGTGTGACATTAGACATAAGTCATCGGTGAAATCTAAATCTTGTAGGATCTTTCTCCCAGTCCAGCCAGCGTATCCCCCTCTTCTCGCTCCTCACAGTTTGTTGCATGATCCAGTCCACCACAATCAGAAAGATCATGGGTGATAGTAGACAGCCTTGTCTTACTCCTGTCTTCACTTGAAAAGCATCACTGAGCTGAGCTGTCCATTGTGAATTACTTGGCATGTGGCGTCTTCACATAGTTGATGAATGAGGTTGATAAAGGTTTGTGATATTCCGTAGTGTTGAAGCAACTGCCAAATTACTTCTCGGTGGATACTGTCAAAGGCCTTTTCAAAGTCGATATGCGTAGTGTGGCGTAGCAATTTGGTCCACACATGATTTGCACTTCCTGAATGCAGCCAACCAATTCCGGTCGTAGTTTTAAATCCAGCGTATCCTTTAGTCTATCCAAGATGATGCGGCTTAATATTTTGCTTGGGGTGGACTGCAGAAAAACAATTACATTCAAATAATCTGATAAATACACAGGATAGACAGACGTCATCGTTGATAGGTAAACGCATTATAGAAACAGGTCACATAATTGATAGGAGCCATGATGATCGTATACTTAGGTTCATTGAAACCTAAGCTATAAGAAAGTTTAAATCACCTTTGTGGTGTATTCAAAAACAGTTTATCCTTGCCTTAAACTTACCTACCTTGGTAATCTTTATCTCATTTTAATGCCAAAAGAGGTGTGAAAATGTATTATTCCTCCTTATTATTATTATCGTCATCATCATATTTTCCAAATCTTGTATTATCCTCATTTATTAATCTTATCCCACTATATTTTCGTCCTTCATATAAAATGCCTTGACAAGTTAATGTGTGATCAGACTGTTTACAGTGTATTGCACGAATAAATCACATATTTCTCAGATAACCTCCGTCTTCTTTTTACACGCATTCAATCTCACAATGACAAGGAATTCGTTTATGAATATAAAATGTCTAAAGTACACTAACCCTTGATACAATCTAGTTATACTTCAATGTTATTATAATTGTACCGTCTTCATTTTATCAACGAAAAAAATAGTTCCGAATTGCCTTAATAACTCATTCATATTCGCCTAAAATAATACTATTTGAATGAAGTATTCGACGACTGTTCCTGTCTGCTGATGTAGGTGTATAAGTAGACTCAACTGGAAACGTAATGGGAATTTAATAAAAATGGACAATCAGTGCATTTTCGAACCTCGTTTTTGTGATATTTGTTCACGAAAGATAATTAAAGTATTCACAGGAGAAGAACATGACTAGTGTTAGGAAGTACGAAACTTATGGCCAAGATTTCCTGCCGATTGCCTCCAACTATCTAACATCTATTAATGTGCACTACAATACTGAGCCAACTAGCTTGGTATCCACATCAAAAATGATTAATCGAATTTGATCAGCACTTAGGACTAGACAAGATGAAATCGGTTACTTTGTAGGGACCGGTCAGTGCACTTAATTCAATTCTAAAGGAGGTCACTCGTGACCGGAATAGCTCAATGGTAAAGTCACTTTGATTCGAACCTCATAGGAGACATCAGTTCCGTAGAGGTTGGAGGTATGCTTTGATGACGAGTTTCAACAAACACAAAACTTAGGTTCATAGTCTCCTGCCTGTTTCCTACAACCGACTAATATCTACCAATGTGAACCGCGATGGTAGGGTCTTCCAGCTGGGGGGTGGTCACACTGCAAAATATCGATTCAATTGATTATGAATCATTTGACTATCTTAGATAGCCGTAGTTCGGCAGATTAGTATTACTGATACCGGGTGATGATTGAAGGTGAAATGAAAATTTGGACCGCGGTGCGACTCAAATCAGCGACCACCGATACAATTCATTCAGCATTCAGGACTTGGGAACATGAAATTATTAACTGTATAGTAACTAGTCATGATATATATATATATATATATATATATATATATATATATATATATATATATATATATATATATATATATAATTTATTGTTACACAGTTATCTATTCTTGAAAATTTAATAATATTTCACCTTTTACGATTTTTCTTTCAGATAGTAAATACTGTCATGAAATAATGCCATCAAATGAATTGAGTATCGATAGTTTACAATCATTTAGTCCATTGAATTGTACAATTCAATTTCCATCCATATGTGATCAACTTTTATGTATACCAGCCTTTGATCAACAGAAACATAATATCCATTCCAATCTATTAGTTGATACACAGACAACTTTAATTTTACTCGGTTTCAATAAATCAATTCATCGGTTATTTGCTACAATATTACCAAAGAATAAATTAACACATTTTCAACAAACTGATAGTATTATTATGAGTATTTCAGATGTATGCACTTCTGTGGCTATTCTACCAGAATTTTTACTGATGACAAGTACACGTAGTCTATTGATGTGTGTTTCATTATTCTTTGATTCACCTCAAATCAATGATCCTACTAGCCTTTTAAAAGGTAATTAGTCATTAAATTATATTGTCAACTTTTTTTCATTTTTGTTTATTGAATAACTAATTACTTCTTTAGTGATTGTCTGGGGGTCGTATTCGTGTACTGCTGTAAGGAGTTCCATATTAGAATGAAACAGGTGGTTCAGTATTCCCATATTTTCAACTGTTCCTACAAATAATACCCCAAAACATAAAATTCCCATTAACTTCAAACTTATAAATTAGTATGTTGTCTTGTTTTGATTAACTGTTCAGATATACCACAGCAATACAAACTAACCTTATAGCCTTTAACGTAATGTTTCAGCTAGTAATAATTCCAACACAGATCTTGAAGTTCATCCATAAAGATGAACACTAAAAATTGATATGTTAACCAACAAAAAACCAAGTGATCTTTAAGTGATTAGCAAACATTGACTATGATATTATCGGAAATGGAATTGAAGAGCAACTTTGCAGATCCGTCTAACAACTGCTGAAATAACCAATTAGGCTTCTACGTTTTTTTGATGAGAAACTATCTTTCCAGCTGGAATACCGTAACTTGATCGGTTATTATAGTAGTTGCTAGGATGGCCTTTAAAATCATCTAAATTAAAAGTAGTCAATAATTTAAATGTGTAAGGAACAAAAAAATGAGTGACTTTAAAGGCCATACTAAAAATAACTCTGAAATAACCACCAATCAAACTTCTGTATTTCATAAAACTTTGCCTTTTCAGATGAAATGAAATCTAATTGATTATTTCAGTTGTTCCCAGGATGGTCTTTAAAATCACTCTGTGGAGCATGATTAGAGGTTTCCTAATATACCTGTTATATGTGTGAAATGTGGTATATGAAACACCAATGTGTGGGACCATATTTGTGTTACTCGAAGATCAGTCATATAATAGGATCACTGACCAAATAAGATCTAGTTGAGAAGCCTAAAGCTGCCAGAAAACTAAGATAAATCAATTTGTATGGCATTGTTTAACTTTCCTGACTACAGTGTTTTTGAGGTGTTCTTCAAATTTCTCATCACACAATTTGTCAAATAAAGTTGGCTCGAATTTTGAAGCAGGTCGGAGAGAGGGTGTGATCACATCTAGACCCGAACCATCTAACTCTAAAGCGATTGAAAGGAAATCTGACTGCTAGTCAGATCTCGTAGCTCAGCTGGTAGAGCACCTGACCGGTAACCTGAAAGTCGCTGGTTCGAACCCTGCCGCGGTTTAGTTTCATTCCAAAATGGAGGTTTGGGAGGACCTACTTATTCCTATTAGGTTGATCTTCGCCATGCACCAGGATCAGTTGGAGGTACATTGAAAAGCTGGGAGCACTGGATAGCTGTCTCGTTCTAGTACGAGACTCCTCATCAGTGTGCATCCATCACCCCACACCCCCAGGGATCGGATCCAGAACCTTTGGGTTCCATGGCCAAGCACGTTGTCATCAAACCACCGAGTTGGAATCCAGTGATTCACACTTCCTACTTCTGTCGGTTCATAATATAACCCGACATGGTTGACCCCACCGGTCACAAAATGTAACTAGGACTTCGGGAATCACATCTCGAAGCTATTCACCAGTGGACACTGGACAGTAATTTAAGTTTGGAGGTGTAAGAGGATTTGTCTATTGATTTCGGCTTTAATCATCACTTAGTATCAATTAAAGTAGCAAAAGCTTGATAATGATGGTGATTTGGTTGGTTGCGGCTAGCAGAGGAAGCCAGGATACCTGTTCCGTCCTATCTGGGACTCAGCACCTGGATGCACTTGCACTCCAGTGAACGTAATTTGTTAACGTGGAAACAATTTTTATGTCATATATTCAGTAAGTTATTGACATGTAATGCCTGAACCATGAACAACCTTCAGTGAAGCTTTTTATATTACGATGTAAAATGTGTTTACCGGAGGGTAGATACTTTAAAATGTGAGGATATTACAAATGAGTTAAGAATTCGATACACAAATGCTCTTATTTATCATATGTATAAAGGTGGTTTTTTTTCGCTTGAGACTAAAGTGCAGAAAATGATTCACTCAGACAGTCGGGTATTGTTAGCATAGTGTTATATTTTCGCACGCTTATATATATTCCGAAACGAATATAATACGCGCGCTTAGCTGACAGCTAACTTAGTACACAAGAGGCACTGACTGCAACCCCGGGACGAATAGAGAGAAGACCGAAGTTGGCAGATGGGAGTTTATTACTCCGAGAGTATAATAATAAATCAATCCAAAACACGTGACTAAGTATACACATGGCAAATGACCAAATGAAGAAATTCTCATAAAGATTAACCAATTAGCGATTTACATTACAATGGGGGCATAAAATAGGCTACTAGTCATACTGTAAAAATAATGTGGGGATGACACGTTAAAATGTTCAGATCAATAACAATGTTTTATACAAAACTGGGGCATCAAGATACATAGAACCTAGAATTACTGCATAACTATTCTTGTTGCCATGTCTCACATCAGCATATCAAGGTGAGTGCAGGGAAGACAGAATGTCACAGAGATGAAAATATTATAGTCGAACGGATATCAATCATTGTTACGATACTCGTAGTTTCCTGTTACTATACTTGATCGAATCACTCAACCTCGGAAAATTACAAGTATCAAAAACAACAACAACAACTGATACCCGTTACACAAGAGATGGCTGGCGTTCTCCTGTGACCAAATGGGTAATACCTTGGCATTTGAGTCAATGGGTACTGGGTTCGAGTCTCAGCAGAGGGGGAACATGACTCACTGGGATCCAGGTGCATCCAGCTGACAAATTCCGAATATGTCAAAATGCGCATGCTGGATTTCACTACTACCCACAACTAAGTCAAATAAAGCTGTTCATTTCTGCCAACAAAGGTCGAGCGATTCAGATCCGTACTTATTATTATTTGTCCCTTGCTTTCTTAGTGGAGCATAAGGCTTTAGTAGCACATCGCAATTCCACTTTTTTCTTTGCAGTCAGCTGGGTCTACAACTGCCTACAAGCTTTTATTTCTTCCTCAAACGATCTCCTCCATTTCACCCTCTGATGCCAAACTCGTCGGCCTGGCTGGCGTGTGATGTCCCCAGTCGACCTTCTCAGTGTATGCCCAATCCATCTCCACTTCCTTCTGCATATTTGTTCACTATTTCGTTTAAATACTATATGATATGATTCATTTTAAGCATAATTCTAATTAATCTCTTCATTTATTGTAATATTTTTAATTTAGAGTTTCTCATATTAAGCTTACTTGGCAACATGGCAAATGCTAGTAGTAGTGGTTAATTAATTTACAGTAAAATGATTCAAAAGATTGTTAACATGGAGAAAATTTGAAACTAGCCACTTTTCAATATTCTATGGGCAATTAAAATACTTATGTTGAGCTGTCAATCGTGTAAAATCACTTGTTCCAGCGTAATTTAAGATTTCTGAATAGTATTCAGATGATCCTTCATACAGGATGGTGTTTAAGCACTGCAAGTTTCACTACTACTGTTGCTTTAAGGCTCAAATAGAACATGAAGACAGTTACTCAACGATGACATTGGATGTAGGTTGCTCTATATATCGTGAACTGACAACAGTAGAAAATGTTGACCAGTGACTTAATGGTAATGTGCTGGCTATGGGACCTGAACGTCCTAAGTTCGATACCTAGGAGTACAGGGTGATTGGTGCGCTTCTAGGTTTCCAATGTTCCTCCAACTGATGTCAGTTTATGCAGAATTCCAACCTAAAATCAAATTTCAGTAGTTTATATATATTTTAGAACTTTAATCAGCTTGTAATAAGGTGTGATGATGGTCATCAAATACTATTGGTTTGCATTCATCCTCAACCCTAAATAAGTTGACACAAGAGGTTACTACTTTTGTCATTTTACACCTCAAAGAATTCTTCTTGAAGCTAGTCGTGTGTATAGTTGAGTATGTTGAAACAATGATTAAATGTAGTTCTGATGTTCACTTATTCATCAGGTAAGATTTTCAGTGTGCGACAAGATGCAGAGTCTTCTAAACCCTTTGAATGGGAATTTGAGAATGTTTGGGATGCGGCTGTCACCACTCAAATGCAAATTGCTGCTCCAGGATTGGTCTTCACCGGTACCAAGGCTAACAATAGACAGTGAAGTGGTTGAGTGTGTCGACCACTTCACTTACTTGGGAAGTAGGATCAACCCTGGTGGTTTAGTTGCCGATGAGATTTCTGCACGGATACAAAAGGCTCGATTGGCTTTTGCCAATTTGCGCCACCTATGGCGCCGCCGTGATATTCGTTTGTCTATTAAGGGTCGCGTGTATTGCACAGCATTCCGCTCTGTTCTACTGTATGGCTGTGAAACATGGCCATTGAAGGTGGAAGATATGAGAATGCTGGCTTCAAGTGTTTGACCACCGTTGCCTTTGTAGCATATACCGTATTCCGTGGTGTTGCGACATGAGTAATTATACAGAAGTCTGGTGTAGAGTTTTAGGGAGTAGATGTGGAGGTAAGTCAGTTGACGAGGTTATGAAGCTTCATCGTCTGAGATGGTTGGGACACGTACTATGTATGCCTAGTCGCCGATTACCTGGTCACACAATGTTGGCTGAGGTGGGTTCAGGCTGGAAAAGGGCTCGATGTGGCCAGACTAAAACATGGCATCAATGTATGAAGTGTTTGACTGTTGGTTTGAGCCATGTGGGGTGATGCATCCTGATTGGTTGTTGTCCGTGGGACAAGAGGAACCAGTGGTTAGAGACTGTATGTGTTGTGTTGATGTGGGTGAGAAGTGATGTGAGTGGCGCATATGTTGTATACACACATTACCCTCATCTTAACAATGCTATACCGATTGTCATCACTTTTTCATTTTTCCTCTTTCTTCTCATACTTAATATTTCTTTAGACTGAATTTTCTTGTCTTCATCTTGCATTTCACTGCCTTTCTACTTGATGTATTGATATGAGGTGTGGCAACTTGGACGGTTACGCAGTAATGCCTGGTCCTATGTTGGTATTGATTGATCGTCAGTTTGTGATAATTCAACAATCCAACGACTGTATCGTCCAATACTTCTTCAAAAAAGTCTGAACTCTCCTCACTTCAGTCTTGATTATTAGTATATTGTGTTATTCATTCCTTTTCTTCATCCTTGAATTTCACAAACATTTCATACATTGTTATTATTATTTTTAGAATTACTTTCGCGACTTAGTATCCCATCAGAATTGGAGCTTGGTACACGTAAACCACCACGGAATTGGTATAATGATAACTTGCATCCAATTGAGTCTGGTGCAGTGATTGTCACTACAATTCCTAATGATACTAAAGTGATTTTACAAATGCCACGTGGAAATCTTGAAGAAGTTCATCCTCGTGCTCTTGTCTTATCACATTTATGCAAATTATTAAATAGGTAAGATAAATTATGCATACTAAGTGTTTTCTATGCCTAACTGTTCAACTTGGATAATGCAATTTTTAAATCATCTGCATGATTAATAATTCTGTTTTAGGTATACTGACTGATCTATGCAAGTCAGCTAGTAAGATTCAGGTGATCTGGAGTAATTCAGATCTATGAGCTGAATTTTTTCGTAGTACACGACTGATGAGTTCGCCTTCAAGTGGACGAAACGTCCATTCGGTGTTTTAAGATCACTCTGATTCGACTGAGAAAATACTATAGATCAAACTGAATAGTTTCTAACTGCCTAATTCGTTCAACGATAATATCTCTGGACATTTTAGGATACTTCTATTTCAGGGATTCCACCTTGTAATCTCGGTTGAGTGATTTCCATCGGCAACCTTACTGACACCACAGTTAAGAAGCTGAGAAACTACTCAGTTGTGAAGAGAATGTTCTCAACCCGCCCACCATCTCTTTTTCATTTGTCATTACAATGAGTTAATGCTGTCAACGCTGAAATATCTTCGTTTCACTTTTTCTTCCTCATCTAGTAAACAATATGAGCAAGCAATCAAAGTAATGCGTCGTCATCGAATCAATTTCAACCTTCTTTATGATCATAATCCTAGTTTATTTTTATCGAATATCAAACAGTTTCTACAATCAGTTCAGGAACCGGATCTGATCACATTGTTCATATCGGATCTTGTGTAAGTGTAATAGTGACTTTATTTACATATTTCAACAGCAAAAATGTTTTCTTTATCGAGTGAAATCGATATATTATTCCATACTTAATTGTTCTGCCTTTTAATGTGCATATCTGGACAGAAGTATTCTCTTCATCAATTTGATCGTCTGCTTTTTAGTGAACATTTATAAAAGAGTAATGATGAATAGGGGCTAATAGCAGAATCGAGGACGCGCATTTCGTCCTATTTGGGACCCGTCAGCTGGACGAATCTACCTCCCAGTGAGGGTTGTTCCCATCGGGATTCGAACTAGGGACCGATCGCTTCAAACACCAGATCATTATCCACCGAACCACGATAACCTCTTCTTGTGCGATGAGTATACTTTTAGTGTTATTGCAGGTACATCCAGCTGACAAGTCCCAAATAAGACGAAATGCATATCCTGGATTCCACTGCTAGCCACTATCCATCATTACTATATCATTAAAAACATAGGCAATATCGAGGTATCCGCACAGGAGCCCATACACCAAGATAGACCGATCAATTCACCCCGGTCAACGACGGTATAATACAAGCAATCACACCAAAACATTTATAAAATTATATATCCCTCAACACGCGCTGAATTTGATAAGGGTCTTACAAATTTGAAATGATGCCATGTGATAGGATCTGACAGTTCACCAGCTGGGGCTCGTGAACTTGTGTACAACAAATTTGGAAAAGCCAAGCAGCTTTCCGAGCTGGACTAGATGGGATCGATCAGATCTTCATAGGTATACTTACTGGTACATGATACCTTTCTTGACCTAAAAATGATATTCGATTTCATCAATCGATAGGTTTTTGACAGTAATTGGTTGCGAAGAAAGTACTGAGCATGTATATAATGCTAATCAATGCTGTCTACTCAACTTCACAATCCTACTAGAGTTTATAAAGAGCTGTCATTTGAAGTGAAAATAGTCGGAAGGGTCCACAAAGGATGTCCACCGTAGTTAATTTTATCTACATATGTTCTAGATGTGCTAACCACTTATATTGTTACCTACCGTCGACTTTGACTTCAGTCTTTAAAGAAAACCTTGTTGAGTAGGAGACACTGTTGACAAAGTCCTGTTAGACGAGAACACCGACAAAATGCAGGATCTTCTGAATGCCTTGGGTAGAAAAAAGTCTGAGCATATTTGGTATACGTTTCTCATCTGTCAGATGTAAGACAATACTTTAAGACTGATCTGCATATATCAAGCCATCGCCTATCGTGACGTCCGATGTCAACCAAAGTTTGATTAGGTCTGAACAAGATTGTCTACGGTAATGCCTAGACATGGCACCAGTCTTTCAGGCGTTTCACTGTTGATCTAACCCATGCAAGATGGGGGGGGCACTGCGGTTCCTAAGATGTTGGAAGTCAGTTCTTGAAGACTATCCGTCTGTATAGGTTATTTTTATTCATCTGATCGTAGTGCGTATGGCGATTGTTTAACTTTTTAAGGTTTTTGTAAAACTTCTCTAATAGAACTATAATTTTTGATTGCAGGTGAGTTTAATTAATTCTGAAAAAAAAACGAGATTTTGTACAAACTATTTTCGTCATCTTTTACATAGCTCCACTTAAGATGACCATTTTCTTTATTAAAAAAAAAAAATTATTCACACTTTAGACAATTCTGTAGCATTTATAAATTGATATAATACATCATTGAAGCATCAGTAGATGATTTTCTTTGATTCACCATGTATCCAATGTCAGGGGATCATTTATAGTATTTTATCTTGATTAGTCAAATGAACTTTGGTAATTCGACAGTGTATTGACATTAGAACTCAATTATCTAATTCACGAAATTGTATAAACTAGACATTTTTGGTTGTATGATTGTGACTTTCCTTCCTTTTGAGTTGAATTCACCTTGTTGTCATGATTCTGCAGGAGGAGATTGGTTCCCACTGTATGAGACCCTTCGATCCTCTTGGGGACATCATGATAGCAACTTCAGAACTCAGTGTGCTCGTTCGTGGTTGTCGTCTGGGTGACAATATTGGAGTAGATTACTGACTCCTCTCCAGTTGATAGTTTGGAGAGTCCATTTACTTTCACAGATTCCTAGCACTTCAGTGCTATACCTTCTCATTTCTTTTGCAATTTGGGCAGCTTTACTAGGTTCAGACATTGTTCGAACATCCCACGTCTCCATTCTTACTTTCGCTTTCATCGAAAGATACATCGGCCAACTGGCTTCCCGAAGGCTTTCACCAAACGGCGTCATTTCGTCTCTCTGATCCCAGCGAGGAAAAAGTTTGTTTTTATTTTTTATATTTTGTTTGTGCTTTGAAGTTTGTTTAGCGATTGGATTGGTTTTCCCGGGGTAAGGTTGCTAGCCATATGCGCAACCTTTCCTCTTTATCCCGGTTTAGGACCGGCTAGTAACTAGTGAACTAGTTACCTAGGCGAGGTTATCGAATACTGTACCATATGGAATAGTAATTAGTGAAACCGCCTCTCACAAAAATGTTTTAACATTCTTATTGTTGGACTGAAAATTATATCTGTGTAATTACAGTGTTAATGGAACAAGCTAACCTCGATTCCTCTTTTTCGGATTGTTATCAGCTTTTTTCTAATAATGCTGTTCTCAGGAACGTCTTCCAATTCAGACCTGCCTGAAAGACAATGCCAATCATGACCAGGGTTGCTGAGACTAGTATACCAAGGTTGCGTCAACTAGATCCAAGAATCGTGAAACCGTCCATTGCAGTTATCACACTGCATACCCGGCTGAGTGGAATGACGGCAGCCTTGTCTCTTACTCATCTACGGTTTAGCGACCATTTTCTTGAAGACATTTGATGATGAGAAAGAAAATCGACGCAAAATCCTCTAGAAAACTGAAGAAGGATATAACCTTAGTGCTAATGAATTACACCAAACTTGGAATCGATATGAAACTTTAGTATCCCAGTAATGATAAAAATTACACTTAAAAATTGGATAGGTTTATCAATCTCAAAGTTTTACTGGTTTATAATGTTGTTGAAAACTGGAGCTTTCGTTGTGTCAGTGCACAACAAAAGTTAAAACGTTTAATCATGACAAGATAACACTTCTTTTCAAAGCTGTCGGAAAGATGAGTCCCTCAAATGTCATGTTGCCTGACAATTGTTGGGAGTGGCCGGCAAAGTAACATATGGAGAAGAAGATGATTAAGAAGAAAAAAGGTGAGAAAAGTTAAGAAAGACAAAATTTATGGAAGTAAAATTAAAGGAAAGGAGAAACGTAATTAGATTCGAGGAACACGGAGAATCCTAGTGGATAGTGTGAAACCTTTTGAGCGTCAAAAGGAGGGAAAGATGTTCAAAGGATTATTGTAATAATAGTGATATTCATATTAGGATGGTACTTCCAAAGGTAAGACGTGTCATAGAGTGGCAAACGACAACTGAATCCATGGTAGTAGTGTTAGTGGAGGTATATGCATTGAAATGGTGCGAAACCCTCCAGTTACTTCGCCCTAATCCGTATCTCAACCAGATGGATTTAATCTATGTGTCACTGTGTAGATTGCTAAATCTTTTTTGAAGCTTTCAAGAGATGAAGTGATATCTACCTCAATAGGCAATACGTTTCAGTGGCTACACTGTAGGAGAGAAAGGATACATGAGTGATTCGATTAGAGAATAGAAGAGACGATTCAGCGAAGAACATTTTCTTCTCCGATAATATCATTTTCTGAAGCTGTACACTCGCATATATATATATATATATATATATATATATATATATATATATATATATATATATATTGAGAAGGTATAATTGCAGCATTAAGCTAGTGCTGAAAACTCAAATCAAGAACCGAAAGCAGTTGCGTAACAATCTTCTAGACAGTGGAAGTAATGAGAAAGCTAAGGAGTTGAAAAGATTAAAATTGTTGATAGATGTGATATGCGAAGTGGTGGAGTGTCCATGTGATAGATGTAAAAAAGGTGAAGAAAGAAACAGGGATCATAATGAAGATAATAATAATAAACTAATTAATTATAATCAAATCGATAAATGTAAAAGTGTTAAGACCATGGTAAGATGAGAGATTGAACATACTTCTTTAGCACGCGGAGATCAAGCTTGAATTGATGAACTGCCAGTGCCTCCGCTGTGCACAACTGTCGCAGGCGTACTCCTTTTGAACTATTCCATCTGAGACGATAAATGACATTGAAGGAGGATTCTGGTCTAGCTTTCTGTCCAGAGTTGACCAAATGTTCAAGAATTGAATTACATCCTCCCCTTGACAACCATGCAAGTGAATTTGTAGACAAATATCGAGTTGGCCCAAGGTGGTAACTTGTCCTTAACGCACTCCGGAATGAGTTGTTGACTAGAGAAGCTAATCTGCAGTTTTGCAGAGAAGAATTTCTTCTTCAGTGATCTGGACAGGATCTGCTGCCATATTGCCTTTGAAAACAACGTTCATAAACAAGGTGTTCTTAAGAACTATGAGTACTCGCTCCGTATTGTGATTTACTTTCAAGTTCTTATCGATAAATCTGGATGGATATCGATTTTGCGTGAGGATCTTCCGTAGTTTATCTAATTCTTCGTCAATACTATCACTTGTGCAGATTCTTTTGATTCTTGAAGATAAAGAATGGATTAGATTCCTCTTTCTGCTGAGAGGCATCCAGTTGTGGAAATTCAAATATCGTCCGTTCCAAGTAGGCTTCCTATAAATTGATCGCTGAAGAGAACCATCTGGTATCCGTTTCAATAAAATAGTCAAAATTGATCACACTGACGACGATATGTGTACTCACTAGTTATTATCTTTTTACTGATCACTTGAGAGTGACCTATATCATATTGTCTAGGTTTAAGGACTAATTGTATTCCATCGATCAGTTTTGTAATATGGTTACCGAGCTATGAAAAAACTGGTCACAGTGATACACTTTGATTGAATGAGAAGATATAAAGTGATTACACAGTTCCGATCACAGATATCTTCGTAGCATTGCACACATTTAATGAAATCACGGTATGAGCAGTGGTACGGTCAGATGAAGGACAATAGGTTGTGAAGATGTGTTACACATGCTGAGTCACTGCCTACCTCGACGTTCAATGCTTGATGAAGTTGATTTAAGTTGGAAGAGGGTTCGGGATGGTTAGATTAAAACATGGCATCAATTGATGAAGTCTCTGACTGTTTGTCTAAGTCCTGTGGTGAGGTGTGATGCAGACTGCCTGGTCGACTTTCTCCAAGCTATAAGAATCAGTAGTTGAGGAATGTTGATGACATGCCTGAAAAGTGGTCATAAAAAGTAGATTTATTCACTTTTCATCATCTTTTAAAGCTTGAATATTTGCACTAACAATTATCTTCAATATGTTTATTCATTCATACATCTTTGTTTACTTCGATGTCAGCTTTTCTTATCCACTGTAGTGTTGCAACTTAAAGTGATGCACTTATGCAAGGTTCTACATTGATTTCGTCTATGGGTTATATTAAGCAGATGACTACACCTGCTAAGAATTACTGTGAATTATTCAGGCATTTTTTTATTACTTCCTCTATTCATATGAACCTTTTATGATTACTCTCAATTCTTTTCATTCATTATGATTTCGTATTTTGTGTACCTTTGAGAAATCGGTTAAAAATATGAGAATTCTTGTTATTGTATTCATTTATCGAATTGTTTTACTTGAAATCATCCTGAAAATATCATCAGTTTAAATCACTAGACAAGGTATGAGTAGATGTTGATATTGAGTAAATATATCTTATGAAATTATTTTATCATCTATAGATTCAATTATCTTTTCTCATCAATGTGTATATCGATGCATTGATGCCTTGTTTATTTGCTTGTTTTTATAATTTTTTTTTTGTTTTAGCGAAGAAGATGTAACAGAAACAGTTTATCATAAATTTTACTCAAAATCTATTGAACGTCGTCATTCAGTATTAACTAGACAATTAACTTCTACGCCTAAACTTGATCGCATAACGGATATTTTAATTGATGAAATGGAGAAATACAATGAGTCTAAGTAGGTATCTTTAAATATTTTCACAAAAATCAATCATCATCATATTATTTGATTAGTAATGTCTAGTAGTAGTGTCCATGACGTGTGTATCCTCATATTTAGGACTCATCAACTAGATGTACCTGCATCCTAGTGAGAGTAGGTGGTATAGTCAACGGGACTCGAACTCGGCGCTTGTTATTTCAAATAACAAAGCGTTATCCATTAAGCTATTTATTCGCGACAATTGCATCTTCTGCAGTAAGTATCAGCTGTTATTTATCGATAATTGCACACACTTTCTTGTGGATTTGTTCATGTTAGACCAAATCGATCAGTTTAACATACTAGTCAGTGAGAAAGTTCCTTCTCTATACTTTTACATGTGTATGTATGCAGCGCATTCGATAGGCCAAATAAACTGTCATTGAACACCTGACTGTCTGGGTTTATTCTAATGGCTATAAGTCCAAAAAATCTCGTTTCCATTACACTTATGACATTATTTGAATATGGCGATATAATCTGTCTAAAACCATGTTTCCAATGCATATCCTAATATCTGATTAACCCAGTCAAACGAAGTGAAAAAGATTATCTCGGAAACCGTTTCAGTAGAATAAAAGTAACTACATCTCATGTGTATTTATAAGTGTGGATAATTGGTTGAAAATTAGACGGAATTCGAGTTTTCCTTCAAGATGCGGTTTTCACCACTCAAATGCAAATTGCTGCTCCAGGAATGGTCTTCACCGGTACCACGGCTGACAATAGAGAGTGAAGTGGTTGAGTGTGTCGACCACTTCACTTACCTGGGAAGTAAGATCAGCCTGGTGAGTCAGTTGCCGATGAAATCTCTGCACGGATACAAAAGGCTTGATTGGCTTTTGCCAACTTACTCCACCTGTGACACCGCCTGAATATCCGTTTGTCTATTAAGGGTCGCGTGTACTGCACAGCAGTTCGGTCTGTTCTACCGTATGGCTGTGAAACATGACCACTGAAGGTGGGAGATAAGAGAATGCTGGCTTCAAGTGTTTGACCACCGTTGCCTTTGTAGCAAATACCGTATTCCGTGGTGTCACCACATGAGTAATTATACAGGAGTCTAGTGTAGAGTTTTAGGGAGTAGATGTAGAGGTAAGTCAGTTGACGAGGTTATGAAGTTTCATCGTCTGAGATGGTTGGGACACGTACTACGTATGCCTAGTCACCGATTACCTTGTCACACAATGTTGGCTGGGGTGGGTCCAGACTGGCAAAAGGCACCAGGTGGCCCGACTAAAACATGGCATCAATGTATGAAGTGTTTGACTATTGGTTTGAGCCATGTGGGGGAATACATCCTGAGTGGTTGGGGTCTGTGGGACAATAGGAACCAGTGTTTGGAGACTGTATATGTTGTGTTGATTCGGGCGAGAAGTGATGTGAGTGGCGCATATGTTGTATACACACATTACCCTCATCTTAACAATGCTATTCGGATTGTTACCACCTTTTCATTTTTCCTCTTTCTTCTCATACTTAATATTTCTTTAGGCTGAATTTTCTTGTCTTCATTTTGCATTTCACTGCCTTTCTACTTGATGTAGTGATATGAGGTGTGGCAACTCGGACGGTTACGTAGTAATACCTGGTCCTATGTTGATATTGATGATGAAAATTATGATGACTATTTTTCGCTTATGTATGAGATATTGGATAATGAATACGAGAGGTGGTCAATAAGTTTTTGTATTACCACTGACTTGGATGGGCATCACGTGTTCCGAACATTTCAGTCTATTGTCTAAGACGTTGCATGGTGTGAGGTGAAGTAAGATTCGATTACAGGATAGATAATGGTGGCCTAACCAAGATAACATTGGTCTATTGGTTTGACCCCCTTATAGCAGTGTAAGGCATCTGCCGTACATCCTTAATGTGTATGGAACCTAGAATCTTTTATGTATGTAAGGACTTATCCATTCTTTTTCATCGTCGAAATCCCCAACATTTTCATTAACCTTTGTTTGTTTATTTATTGTTATCTGCCACATCCTTTTTCGTTTATTTCAGTAACACTTTGTTTTTGTTCCACTTCTCCTCTCCTCACTGTTCTGTAAAATTCTAAGTTGGTCTGTCTTACTCCCTCAGGTCACAATTAGGCTGAATACTTCATTTCAATGCTCTCATACTTTTCTAATGCAATTTATTATTGTATCTGTCTGATGGAGAGTAAAAGCCAAGATGCAATAATAAGTTAACGATGCATAGTAGATGGATTGAATGTACAATGGTCCCACCCTCTATCCCTTTCGTGTTATCCTTTACCTTTTCTATGTATGCAACTTTACACTACTCACTATTAATGAGTAGTATCATGTTCTTTCGCAATTCTCCATTCACTAATTTGATTGTACAGTTCCACTGAAATCTTAGTTGATTCATCATTATAACATGCTAGTATATAAATTTCTTCCCTATTCTATGACTGTATTGTTCTCCCATCAGTTGGTTCTCTTTTGTTCTATCTTCCCTTGAGCACTTGGCAATGAAGCCAACCTAGTGTGACTGGGATTATGATGTTTGCTCACTGTCCGACCTTTATAAGTGGTCTGTGATTCGGGCCACAACCTACCGGTTGAAAATGGACGACTACCTACACCGATTTGCCACCGTTACAAGATGAGTTTCAGCAGTCAATATTAAGTCAGAAAGATACGATACAAATAAGTTTAAATGGGATTTTCTAGAAGTGATGAAGGATGCGTCATATAAGGCTTTCTAGGAAAAAACCAAATTGATTTAAGAAGTATATAGTTATAAATCTCTGGTAACTGATGGATTAAGTCAACAAGACAATAAGATGCACCCTCTTTGTTTACTTATTATTGTAATCGTTGTTGAAGTATTCTCAACTCTTTATCAGGCTCTATACTCAGTTAGGGGACCTCTTTCAAGTTGCTTCCTAACTGCACATTACGAAAATATACTCCAAACATTAAGAATTCCCATCACTTTTCCATCTTTTTAATACTCTTACTTCTACATCTACAAGTATAATTGTAAATACAATCCGTGGAATACATTAAATAATACCACATACGAAACCTCAACCACAATAACTGGTTCCATATTAGATTTGTTTATTTGATATATAGCGCACAGTGATACAGTATTATTTACTTGATTACGTTTCGAGCATAATCACACTTCTTTCGATATCTGATTTTATAGTCCTGTCACCTGATTTTTCTTTGTTTTTTGGTTGGTAGTAAAGTTTTCCATATCTCTGGTATAGGTGTTGCGTCATTCCTATTACATGTGTTGGGTGTGGATTCGATGAACAAAGATTCAGTAATTAATCTCTCTCTCCACCTAGCTATATTAGACTTAAGTACAGTGGTTTTGTCCCACCCTATTGTGTGGTTGTGTGTTAATGAATGTAATGCAATGGCTGAGTGTTTTTCTAGGTTATTGATCTTATTGGGGTCTGTCGTTCTATGTTTAGCTAAATTCCTATGTTCTGTTAATCTAACTGACCCCGACCGGCTAGTTTGACCTATGTATTTGACTTCACAGTCATTACATGGAATTTGGTAGATTATATTATTTTGCTTAATTGGTTCTATCGGATCTTTTAGCCGACAAAGCTTACCTCTAAGTGAGTTTGTTGGTTTAAATGCCACCCTAATTCCAACCTTGTTGAGAATCCTACGTATGGTTTCTGATGTTCCTTCCTTGTATGGTATCACAATAGAGGTGTTGATTTCCTTTCTACTTATGTTGTCACTATTATTTGTATTTGTATTAGTGTTATTATTTTGCTTCTTATGTGTTTGTGTGAATTTCTTAATAAAATGATGGGGATAATTATTATTAATAACGCTTCTTTTATGTGTTTCAATTCCTTATTTAAGTCCTTACAATGACTAGTGAGTTTCTCAGCTCTGTTATTTAGACATTTGACTAAACCCGCTTTAACTGACACTGGATGAGATGACTTGAAGTCTAGATACCTGTTAGAATGTGTTGGTTTTCTGTAGACGGTAGTATCTAAACCACCATCTATCCTTCGTTTTATTCTGCAATCCAACATAGGTAATTCTCCTTGTTCATTTTCTACTTCGTAAGTGAATTGGATTGCGTTAACTACTGAGTTTATGTGTGTCAAGAAACTGTCGATATGTTCCGATTTCAACACTGTAAATGTGTCATCTACATATCGCCACCATATCTTAGGTGTCGGATTATATGTTCGTAAAGCCATATCTTCCCAACTATCCATAAATATATCTGCTACTATAGGGGATATTGGTGATCCCATTGCTACTCCTTCTGTTTGTCTATATATCTTTCCCTGAAACTTGAAGACTGTCGAGGTTAAGCATAACTGCACTCCTAACATGATTTCACCAACCGATGCCTTGGTTCTTTGAGTAAGTTGTGAGTCAGTATCTAGTTGATTTCTGACTGCCTCCAGTGCCATATTGATTGGTATTTTAGTATAAAGACTTGTTACGTCAAAACTAACCATTTTTTCATTCTCTTCTATGTGCAGGTCATTAAGTTTTTGTTTCAACTCGTAAGAATTTACTAGTCTAGAGTTGGAACGGTCTCTAATAGGACGTAATACTGATGCTAAATACTTTGATATCTCATATGTTGGTGTATTCCGGAAGTCAACTTCTATCCTTCTACTCTAACTAGTACCATGCCATGGCACACTCACTGATCCTCGAGTTCCTGAAACAGAAAATTGACCTTTAGGGGGACCTCCTCATGCTTGGTGTCCCTTAGCAGTAGACGTTTTCTCCTGTTAGGAATATCATCACTGCTTCTGGTCAGCCGGCAATGTCTTCCATTGTGCTCAGTTTTTAAGCGGTTACAACATAATTATTTCTTTCTGTGAAACCCCAATTTCTGCTGAATAGACAAATTCAAAATGTGTACGAAATTCACAAACTCTCATGAGCCACTTCTCAGTAAACACATTTCTTACACGACATACTTCCAGGTTATTTCCCCAGATCTATCTCTTTTCTGACTCGTCACTCATCGTGGCTGTGGGGCAGGCTTACAAGCATACGCAAATCTGCTTTCAGCAGGATTTACGCTGTCTTCGACGATCTTAAGAATGTCGGCAAAACCAGGGTTTCTTTCCCATTTTCCACTCGAGTGCGAACCTTAATCCGCTCTTCTTTAATCGAGATGGCAACTATCTTGCCACAATATCAGGAAATGTAGGGATGTTCAATTCAGTAGGACGCTTCAGGGGCGGAAGTGTGTATCTAAAGGCAAATAAACTGTCCAAGTATCCAGTAAGATCCTTAGTACCCTCCCTAATTTGTCGACCATCACCTCGAACGGCTTCAAAAATGCACCTCACCAGCATAGAAGGTTTCCCGAATCTCTCTTTTAATATGTATCTAGCTCCATGATAACCTTTAATTGCAGGCGGGAATTCGCAACTCCTTATCTCTTTCTGGGCAAGACCAGTATGCGACCCCAGGAGCCTAATTTTATCAGTCGATTATGTCCCTTCTAAAATACTTTTGAACACCACCACAAAGTCTGAATAGCCCCTCGGCTTTCCACAAGACCCTAACCTTAATGTGAGAATAAAAATATTTATTTATTTATTATGAATTAGACTATGCGAAAATTCTCCCTCGATATGAAATACCATCAAGATGTCAATCGAGTTTGTGCCACAAAACATTAGACGACATAAATCATCATCATCATCATCGTAGGCGAAATCCAAATCTTCTTCCAGGGTCTTTTCATCGGTCCAGACAGTGTGTATGTCACTCTTCTCACTCCTCACAGTTTGTCACATCATGCAATCCAGTCGAGTGGACCATAATCAGGAAGATGATCGGTGGTAGTAGACGTCAGCCATTTCTTACTCCTGTCACCTATCCTCACTTCAAAGGTATCACTGAATAGTTTTCCATTGTGAATGACTTTGCATGTAGCATCATATATAGCATATAATTGTTGAATGAGGTTGATAAAAGTTTGTGATACTCCTTGGTGTTGAAGCAGCTGTCAAATAACTTATTGGTCGACACTGTCGAAGGCCTTTTCAAAGTGGATGAAGTTGAGGTACAGGTACAGTTGACTTCCATTATGTACTCTGTTCTATGATGATGCGTGGCGTAGTGTTCCAGTTTGATCTGTACATGATTTGTTCTTCCTAAAGGCAGTCTGCCAGCCTGTCTGTTCGGGTCGTAATTTTGAATGCAGAGCATTTTTTAAGTCTCTCCAGGATGATGCAGCATAATATTTTGCTTTGGGTGGACAGGGATAGAACATGATTCCTCACCAGTTCTTTCAAACACTTAAGTCATCCTTTTTTCGAAGTTTGATCAATGGGCAGGTATCTTTCCTTCCTCCCAGACCTTCTGCAATAGTAGTGTGAGCATAACCGCTGTTGTCCCTGCGTCTACTCTCCGTGCTTCTGGAGGAATTCCATCTGGTCCTACTGTTTTCTCGGATTTCAGCAACTTGATGGCATTCAGGACTTCTGCTTTTGTCGGAGGGCTTGTATTCACTGGTAGTTCTGAGGTTGCTGGTATTATTTCTGGACGAGTTTTTAGGTGGTGGTCTATCTATTCAAGAGTTTTTTGAAGTGACCAGCCCATTGTTTCCTTTGTTTCTCCTCTTTGGTAACTGGGTTTCCTTCACTATTTTTCATTTGTTTCATCTGCGTTGATCTCTTCGCAGATAGTAACCTGGTTATTCGATGAATGTCATTTTCTTCTCCTACTTCTGATTAATTCCTCTCACCTTGGTGCCTGCCTTCTCATTTGATTTATTAATATAAGTTGGTACTACCTTTTACGCTATGCTGTGTAATAATCATAGGTGCCATTTTGTGATGTTGAATAATTAACTTGAATAAAGAATCAGTGTTTAAGGGTGTAATAATTTCACTGGCATAGTTTCATGCTGTAAATCTACATCTTCATTGACATCGACATTGACATCTAAGTAGTCAGTATTATTAGTCTTCAGGCATCAGTTATGATTAGTAAGCGAGTGCGAAAACCTGATTTGCCTTATTTATGAATAATTGACCTCCAGACAACTTTTTTCTTGATCCTCAATAATGTGTTTATTGACATACTTGGTTGTGGCTAGGAGAAGAATGCAGGTCGTGCCTTTCGTCTTGTTTGGTACTCATCAGCTGGATATGCCTGCACGCCAGTCAGTGTTGTCTGCACTGGGACTCGAACTTCGGACCAATTGCTTCAAACGCCAAGGCGTTTCCCACTAGGCGGCTGAGGCACAATACCCGCATCCTGTACAACGGGTATTAGTTATTACTATTTGTGGATATGTTTGTAGTTGTCCGTTGTTTTACTGGATCGGATTGTTCGATTTGTGCTAGCCACAACCAAGCAAATGACCATATATTAACATTCAGGCAATATCGAGGCATCCACATAGGAGCCCATATGCCAATAGAGGTCGAACAATTCGATCCAGTAAAACAACTTAGAATTACAGACATATACATAAATAGTAAGGTTCATTGATACTTATAATCTCCCGTTGGTATACGCACATCGAATTGCTCAACATTTGTTGGCAGATTGGTTCCTATCTAGATAACCTCGATACTACTGAATACAACAATAATGTGTCTTTATAAGTTATTGAAAAGTGAATTCTAATTGATGAATCTAATGGTTTCCTTATAATATGATTAATTGATCATGCCTTTTCTGATTACAGACTAATTGTACCAATAATAACCTGTTATGCCAAGAAAGTTCCACCAAACTATGAAGCTGCATTACTCAGACTTCAAAGATTACATGGTAAGCTAACATAGATACAAGTGTTTTTGACTCTGGAATCCATATATATATACCAGTATAGATGTACTCTTCATTTCTAGAAATAACGATAGGCTAAACAGGATTTTTTACATTCAGTAACAAGTATAGATATTCAATGTTCTAATTATTTTAAACATAAGCGACTGCATAAACATCTGTTAATAGAAATCCCATTAAATGGTAATAATGTACTGTGAATTCAATTCTAGTAAGAAATTCAAATCTATTTTACTTCGATTTGGATATTTCGAATATTAGAAAAAACTTGTCATCTGAGCATTTCTATTATTGTTCAAAATTTGTGTATTGTTTGAAGATACCCAGCCAACAACAGGCATCAATCACCATCAACAGGAGAAACCTAAAGGAAGTAGTCTCTTTCACCTACCTACCTGCCTAGGCAGCATCGTTTCAACTATAGGCAACGGCAGAGACGCGGATGTCAAAACTAGGATCGGAAAAGCAAGATAGGCCTGCATTAATCTGAAATCACTGTCGAGATATACTGCACTAAGCACAAAGAACAAGATCCGAATTTCCAACATCAGTGTCAAGTCAGTGCTTCTATGTGATGGTTCAGAAACTTGACGTGTCACGAAAAGCATTTCCAACAAACTTCAGAAATATATCAACAGCTGCCGCCTATGCTCGCTCACTCGATACTGAAGAGCATATGGCCAGAATAATATGAATATGCAACAAGAAACTCTGGCTGGCAACGAACCAACCAAAGAACCTATCGCCCAACAAATATGCAGAAGAAGGAAGTGGAGATGGATTGGATTCGGCATGCTATGAGAAAACCATTCGGAGACATCATGCGCCAGGCCAGGCCGTGTAGTGGAATCCAAAGGGGAAACGACGAGTTGGGTGTGTGAGGTGGGGTTGACATGGAGGAGATGCTGTGTGGGGAGGAAATGAAAGCTTGTGGGCAGTCGTGGAGCGAGATTGAGAAGACTGCAGAGAAGAGAGTGGAATGGAGACGTGCTAATGAAGCCTAATGTTTCACTAGGAACCCAAGGGAATAATAATGATATATATCATTGTGATTACCCTCATCCATTGTCGTTGAGTTGATGAAAAGACTTTCGTTTGTTGTTTGTGCGCATTGAATATTGAATCTTTTGTGTAGACTAGATATAACTTAAATAAACATCCAGTTGCACTATTCTAAAGATAAATATTTAAAGATTGGTTGAAAAGCAAAGTGATCTTGGAAATGTTTCCTGCATAAAAGTAATATCTATGGTTTTCAATCTGTTTCCCTTCATTATCTCCTTACGTACGTCCGACTTCAGAGAGATTGGTCTACTCCCTGAAGGGTATCTGGTTTGCGATATTTATTGTCCTGCTAGGTGACAACGCTGACAAAGTCCAATGTCTTGTGAACCCACATGTTGAGCAGACGTTTGAATATGTTTGATATGCGCTTGGCTCTCAATTTGTCAAATGGAAGATGATAGATAGTCAAAGACTGGTCTACTTCTTCAAGCACTCTCAGTTTAACGATACGGAGTGGAGTGGTGGAATGTGTCGACCATTTCACATACTTGGGGAGTTACATCAGGCCGAATAGGCTGGTTGCTGACGTAATTTCAACTACGATATGCTGGTTCCGTTCGGCACTTACCAACTTGCGTCATCTGTGGCACCAACTGGTTGGATATCTGACTATCTGTCAAAGGAAGAGTATACCACACCACTGCAGTTCGTTCTGTCCTGTTATATGGTTGAGAGATACGTAGGTTAAACGTGGAAGATACTGAGTGGTTACAGGTTTTCGAACCCACGTGTTTTCGTAACATTCTTACTGTATGGTGTAATCATCAGGTGAGCAATATGGAGGTCAGGGGAAGGGTACTACGCAAGTCAGTTGAATAGGTTGTGAACTTTCATCGAAGTGCTATGCTACGGGAAGCTGGTTCAATTTGGAAGAAGATTCATTATGACCATATCAAGAATTGAAACGAGTTTATGAAGTCTGCAACTGCTGGTATGAGTTGTGTACGGAGGTGTACTCCCTATCTAGGAAGATATGAACGTCTGTTTGACGACCCTTGGCGACATGGCTAAAAATCAATGACAATAGCGGAGATGTATTCAGTCTATGACTTCTAAAGCTTAAATGTTTTGACTGATTTTCAGTTTTAGGTTCCTCCTACTCACATACACTTTTATCTAATTTAATATGACTCGTTTTCTATCCATTTGTTCTCTGTATACTATTATGAAGTTTGGCAACTTGATTCGATGCACTTGTGTACGAGGTTCTGCGTTGATTTTATCTGTTTCTTTATCATCATTTCCAATTGCTTGACATACTAGTTAAAAAGTACTTTTCCTTGGTTGACTTATCAATATGGAGAAATTTATGCTGATTTCAACTGATAGTTGTTTGTCTCATTTTTTTTGATGTTTTAGTCAACATTGTTATGATTCGCATAATCTTTTTTCAATGAATATTTAATTTATTATTTGTCTCAGTTTTGATTATCTATCTATCTGCGTAGCACAGACACCTTTTAAGGAAGCATCACAGGACAGTATATACTTATAAGTGGGACAGTAGACTGTTTGGATGTTGTGCAAACTACCTACTGGTGGAGAATATTTATAACTCAGGTGGATGTTCTTGGTTGTATTGAGTTCTCTGAGCTGGGCTGTTTAATCGTGAAGCTTTCATCGTCTTCCTAGACGACATCATCAGCACCAACCTCAATATGAAGTGAATTGTCAATATCTCTCCATGAGTGGTTTATCAACTGGCCCTGACGAATTGGTTTGTGATTAGTTACTTTCTTTGACTGTTGTGTCATTGACTGTGTAGATTTTCCTTTTTGTCTGTTCCTCTGACCTTTCTCTCGTTCATCATTTTCCTCATTGGCTGATAGATCGGGTCTACGTGTACACATGTATTGATTGCTGACTGATTGACCTGAATGCCAAACTTCTAGGAATTCTCTGATATTCTTTGTGTTTCCTTTGTCCAAAATTTCTACATTGTCAAAATTGAATTCATATCCACGTCATTATTCATGTGTATTGAAATGAGTGATGAAATGTTGTGACGTTTAATAGCCAATTGGTGTTCATGTAGACAAAGGCGAAGAGGGTGACCATTTTGTCTAATGTGGTGTTGATTTCAGTTATTACAGTTGATTTTGTAAATGATATTCGGTTTGTCTTCTTTGGTTGTTGTGTCCTTTGGTCTAGTAATAGTGTTTGGTGGGTATTTGTTGGTTTATAAGCCACACAAATTCCAAGTGGTCTCAGTAATCTTGTCGTGATTTTTGATATATTCTTTATGTATGGTAGGATAAACTATAAACCAACAAATACCCACCAAACACTAAAAGAAGGCGTTATCTGCGGTGACAACTAGTTAGATATCTAACTATCTATCAAAGGAAAACTATACTGCACCACTGCAGCTCCTTCTGTCCTGTTATACCCTTGAGAGATATGTAGGTTAAACATGGAAGATACTGAGTGATTACAGGTTTCCGAACACAGGTGTCATCGTAGCTGGGCTCACTTTTGATGAAATAAGTATGTGAGCAATGCTATTATGCATGATACGAAGGTCGAATGATGCCCTCGTGAACCTTAATCGACTAAGTTATCTAGGATGTGTTTTACGCATCCCGATCGACCACCCACCTCAACGTCCCAGTCTAGGGGAAGCTGAAACAGGTTGCAAGAGAAACAGAGAGAGAGTTTAGGGTGGCTAGACTAACACCAAGACCTATCACCAGTCGACGAAGTCTCTCACTGTAGATTTGAGCCGTGTTGGAAGATACAGACTACTTGGATGGCATCCACTAGACCATTGGAATTAGTAGTGACATGGTTGAAAGTCGATCACAATGGCGTAGATGTATTCACTCCTTGACGCCTTGTAACGCTTGAATATTTACACTAACCTTTACCTTCAGATCATTTATCTACTTTAATATCACTCCTTTTTTATCCACCTGTTCTTAGTGTACTTCTGTGAAGTGTGGTAAGTTGAATCGATACACTTGTGTGCCAACGTTTACAATATTTTTGTCAGTAAGTCAGTTGATTTCGAGAGTTTCACAATGTATCCATATCCGAAAACTTACTGCGACTGATTGTAGGCACTATGATGAATGAAGGCAGCTTAAATATGGAATGAAAAGCAATTCTAAACAATGTTCATGATCATTGATGAATAAAAAAAACAGTAATAATTAGTAATGTTATCAGATTATAAAACAGATCAAATCGGATTTTGTTTTCTTTTCTGTAAGGCAATTAGTTAGTTCATTCTTTAAAAAGATTACTAAATTGATAAAAAGAAACCACTCTGGTTGAACAATTCAACTAGTCTGTATGTTATTTTTAATTGTCCACTCTCTATCCAAAAGGAATCTGAATAAAGTATCGTAAGCGATCTTCTAGTTCTTGCCAAAGTTTAAACTATCTAGCGGAGCTTAAAACGATGAAAGACAATAAACTCTCGTTCCCCTCTTTCTAATTTCTGTTTTTATGTTATTTATACAATATATTAAACTAACAAGTTGACAGAAGAGGCAGCGAAGACGGGACACTATTCAAGTGAACGTATAGAAGACAGAGGTGATGAAGATACCCAACCACCGACAAGCTGCAATCACCATTAACGGGAGAAACAGGTGGCACACATGAGGACGTCAAAGGCAACCAGTGTAGAGATCCACTGAACTCAGCGTAAAGCGTGAACAAGATCCGGATTTTCAACACCAATTCAGTCGAGTCAGTGCTTCTATATAATGGTTGAGAGATTTGGCGTGTCACGAAAGGCATTTCCAACAAACTACAGACATTCATCAACAACTGCGTACGCTGACTCGTTACCGAAGCCCAGATGGCCAGAATAGTAGGAATAAGCAACAAGGAACTGTGACCTACCAACGAACCAACCAAGAACCTATCACTCAATAAATAGACAGTTGAAGGAAATGGAGATGGATTGGGCATGCACTGAGAAGGCCGAGTGGGGACATCACGCGCCAGGCCAGGCCGTGGAGTGGAACCCAGATGGGGAGCAACGAGTCTGGTGTCCGAGGCGACAGTGACATGGATGAGATAGTGCGAGGAAGAAATGAGAGGTTGTGGGCTATCGTGGAGCCAGGTTGAGAAGACTGCAGAGAACAGAGTGCACTGAAGACGTGTTACTGAAGCCTTATGTTCCGTTAGGAACCCAAAGGATAGATAATAATAATAATATAAATAATACAAAATATTGTTTCTATCCTATCGAAGATTTTTATTGGTTAATAATGTTATTATTAGTATATTTTTATGGATATATTACTCATGATTGATGTCATTACACTTTTTGTTGGTGCTATCTATTTACAGATAATGGAGATATTCAAACATGGAATATTGGTTTACGTCATTTACAATATTTTGCTACACCAATAGAATTGTATAAAGTTGCATTGGGTACATATAATTTGAATTTAGCTGAAACAATGGCACAACGTACACAATTAGATCCTAAAGAATATTTATTCGAATTGAATGAATTACGTCGATTAACAAATGATTTACAAATATGTCATTGTAATACAATAGAACAAGCAATAGCCTATCAACAGTATAAAATTGATAATAGTTTAAAGAAATTTTCAAAAGCAGTTCAACATTTGATTGTATCAGGTAGGTATAATTTTTATAAAATCAATTTAATTTTTTTTTATTCATCCTTAAATTGTCAATTATACATTCAATTATTATTTGGGGAGATGATGATTAAAGGTGAAGTGAAAATTTAACACCGTGACAAGAACATCTTTGAAAAGGAGTTTACTGCTATTTATTTGCTTATACTCTATGGTTATTCAACATTGATATTTATTGAATAAAGTGTAAGTCAAGGCGAAACTGTGAATACTAAAGATGCTATTCTCTTTTTAGGATCGAAGTGAGACTATAATGAAGGAAATGATTAGATTGGTTGAAGAAGTATGCTGGACCTATGAATGTTTTATCATTCTGAAATAACAGTGAAAGTAAAGACGGAATACATTTGGCAATTACAAACAACTTGACCTAGTCTAGATGTGTATATACTTTGGCTATGAACTACATTTATTATGTATAAGCTTATTATTACTTTAACAGTTGCCCAGATCGAATTAGGTGGAGTGAGATTGAAACTAACACGCATCGGTTAAAGATCAAGTACCTAAACCATTTTACTACATCTATGAAATGAGGTTATTTGCTATATCCATTAATAAAATGACCTACATTGTACTTAAAGCAATCATTGAAGAAACAGTCTAACACTGGTTGCATTCAGAAAATGAGTCAATATCATACTTCACAGACTCAGTAAAAAGCATCAAAAGCTGGACATGCACTGATCACGTAGCTAAATTACCATCATATGTATTGCAGATTAACAACTGTTATTACTTCATATTAATTTTGGTTTTTGATTCTTTGAATAGTATTATATTCTGAAGTCTTATATTAAAGAGAGGAATGGGGGAGTTCCTGAGAAGTTTATTAACATCTTGAAGTACGTGTTTACGAAGTAGTGCTACTACCATTAGATTGACTTTTCAACCTTGACTACACAAGTAATTACACTGTACTTTGCGAAAACATCATTCAAGTCGATTTGTGTCAATTATTAATAAGTATCCGTAAGTTATCTTGGTATTTTGCGCCATTAGAGTGCAAAACTTTTAGTTTAGAGAGATTGATAAGAGTATGTAATTTCTCTTACTCTTGGTGGTGAACTATTGAAAGTTCCATTATCTCAGTAGCTTTATGGTTGCTGGGGATGAAGGATGAGGTGTAACTGATTAGATTTCCAGCTTTTTATTGAAAGCCAAAATAGTAGTAGTATAAGCCAATTCACATAACGTTTGAGACTGTTCTGGCGTTAACATAACTGTGATAGGTTGAATGTACAACGTCATGGTGTGAATATCTCCACTCTAAGCCAATGAAACCTGAACTACATACAAAAGGTATCTAACTATTCTACTTATACTGAGTGATGATTAAAGGTGAGATGAAAGTCTCAACCGCGGCCGGATTCGAACCAGCGACCAGTACAAATACTAGTCTACCAAACTACAGTTATCTTAGATACTCAAATTATATTCTATTTATGTTTTCACCTTTTCTTATTCACTTTATATTTCGTGTAGAAATATACAAATAATAGTCTATACATCAGATTCTCTGAAATTTAAGAAGTTTTACTTCAAATATCGTTTCTCAAATATTTTTACAGAGTCAAAATAAACTAATCTATTCAATTCATTAAAAAGATTTCAAGGCTTTTCATAATTATACGGTTTATTTGTGTTATTTAAGCATCATTCATTTTCAAATCCTTCTTAACTGTCAAACTTAACTTTCTCAGTTTTCTTCCTTTTACTCTATTTAACTGTTCGAAGTTCCAGTGATTGTGTGTACTTTCTCAATCTGTCCATATCTGTCAACATCCGTTTTGCAGATATAACCATATTAAGAAATTCATATTAATTTATTTCCATAGTAATATTATTATTATTATTATTAAATCCGTTCATCACCCAGGGCTAGACAACATAAAGTTGGTTACTCTCCAGTGACAAGTCAATGATGTGTCAAATCTAGTCCTGCAGGAGGTTGATAACAATTCAAACTGTTCAATCACTGAATGATGTTCGGGTCGAGTCTCATAGAAGACACACCTTATTGATCTCCAAGAAGCAAGGGATCAAGCAGATCTTCTTTCTGATTACCTGCAACTAATTAACAGATTTATGTGGTAACCTACTATGCATAAAAGGATTCACTCATAATTACAGTGAAAACGCACCTTCCAGATATAAGTTGACCATTGTTGGCTTTGTAGAGAATTGAGAATTATTTCAAGTTGTTATTCATCGTAGACTGACATCAATTGGAGGAACAAAGGGCACTGGACAGCTGTTTCGTCCTGGTACGGGACTCCTCAGCAGTACGCACCCATGACCCCGCCAGTTATCGAACCCGCGACCTTCAGGACGAAACAGCTGTCCAGTGCCCTTTGTTCCTCCAATTGATGTCAGTCTACGATGAATAACAACTTAGAATATTCCCAAATCCCCACAACTCCCTCAAAATTCAATTTTATATTTCTCTTTCCTTCAAAGGGAAATGAATTACCTGTAGATGTGTATGCAATAGGTGGATATATTCTATTTTCATAATACTGTTTCACTATGTGACATTTCTAATAAAGTGACTACAATGGAATTTAATAATTCCCATTGTAACATCAAAAATAAGATATTCAGCGAAGAGACTCTTTTAAAAGAATTTATTTTCAAGCTGCACAATCCTATATATATATATATATATATATATATATATATATATATATATATATAATATTTGAAAAATTTATATCCCATAAGGAAAACTAAACACACTATATGATGATGACAATAATATAATAATAGAGCGGATGATGACATAGGCATTTGTGGTTATAATAACGATTGAAGTGCGAATGAAAACAAATTAGATTATGTAATATATAGGATGGTACAGAGAGAGTATATAACTCAGAAGGGGGTGATAAAAATTGTTGAAAATGGTAAATCAATTAAGTATTATGTAATGGCATTAAACAAGTTGTACAAGATGAAGTCAATGTTTTCTAAACTGATTAAGACAATTAAGTGAAATAACACCGGAAACTAATTAAAGTGAAGGCGATTTATAGTTAGGTGCCCATCAACGGAAAAAGAAATCTTATTCACTCTCTTTGCTATCGAATAAGAAATATCTGTAGTGATGATTGTATTGATGGAGAGCTATCTTTTTTAAAAAGTACACTTATCGTAAACGGTTACCCTAGCCGTTTTACTGCTAATATATGTTAGAAAGAAACACTAAATCGACCATCCACTCGGTCTCAAAGAAAAGATTGTTTATGAGCCTAGAGTTTAAAGGTGACCTAGCACCGGATGTACTGAAGAATCGTCTTACCAGATCAATCAATAGAACTTTCTTCGTAGGAAGACTTCAGTTGACTTTTACCAGCTGTAACCTATTCTCTACCTGTGTTAAAAAGAAGCTTCCTCGTTTGGCCGCCTCTATGTGCATCTACCAGTTCACCTGCTCTTGTGGAGCAAGGTACATCGGCCGTAGCCAGAGAATGCTTTCTACACGTATACGAGAACATGTTCCTGCTTGGTTTTATAAAGGTGAAAGAAAGTCTGTTAGAAGTTCGATTCTAGAACATTTGATTGACCTCCATCACACAACAAATTCAGACAATGACTTTGAAATTATTTATCAAATTCGCCCAAACCTCCCACCTTCTCTTCGTTTTCAACTCCCTAAAACAGCGGAGGCTTTAGCTATTCATGAACTAAGACCTGATCTGTGTGTATAAAAGAAGTATGTGCAGTCATTGTCTTTATCATGGCCATAATATTTCCCCACCCCATTAGCTCCCCCTCCCACTTTGTTAATTTAACCTTTGTATCCTTCCTTTATCACTATTATTGTTATTATAATCGCCTTCAGTTTAACTAGTTTCCGGTGTTATTTCACTTAATTGTCTTAATCAGTTTAGAAAACATTGACTTCATCTTGTCCAATTTGTTTAATGCCATTACATAATACTTAATTGATTTACCATTTTCAACAATTTTTATCACCCCCTTCTGAGTTATATACTCTCTATGTACCGCTCCGTATATTACATAATCTAATTTGTTATCATTCGCACTTCAATTGTTATTATAACCACAAATGCCTATGTCATCATCCGCTCTATTATTATATTATTGTCATCATCATATAGTGTGTTTAGTTTTCCTTATGGGATATAAATTTTTCAAATATTATATATATATATATATATATATATATCTTGCAACCTGTTTCAGCTTCCCCTAGACTGGGACGTTGCGGTGGGTGGTCGATCGGGATGCGTAAAACACATCCTAGATAACTTAGTCGATTAAAGTTCACGAGGGCATCAATCGACCTTCGTATCATGCATAATAGCCTTTGCCTTAACTTAGCATTGCTCACATACTTATTTCATCAAAAGTGAGCGTAGCTACGATGACACCTGTGTTCGAAAACCTGTAATCACTCAGTATCTTCCATGTTTAACCTACATGTCTCAACGGTATAACAGGACAGAAGGAGCTGCAGTATAGTTTTCCTTTGATAGATAGTTAGATATCTAACTAGTTGTCACCGCAGATAACGCCTTCTTTATACGATCTAAGATTTCTCCAGCAACCAGCCTATTCGGCCTGATGTAACTCCCCAAGTATGTGAAATGGTCGACACATTCCACCACTCCACTCCGTATCGTTAAACTGAGAGTGCTTGAAGAAGTAGACCAGTCTTTGACTATCTATCATCTTCCATTTGACAAATTGAGAGCCAAGCGCATATCAAACATATTCAAACGTCTGCTCAACATGTGGGTTCACAAGACATTGGACTTTGTCAGCGTTGTCACCTAGCAGGACAATCAATATTGTCTGCCTACTCCACGTCAACCAGATGCCCTTCAGGGTGTAGTCGAGCTTACTTAAGATTATGTTCATTAGTACATCTACGACGAATTTAAATAGGAATAGTGACAGTGAGCAATCCTGGTGGATCAATAAACCACCAGTGTAGCTTCACGTACAGCCTTCAACTAGTAAGCTATTTAGAAGTAGTATTCATCATGGACTGACGTCATTTGGGGAACTATTGAAGCATATATCGAGTTTTAGTACATTTTTGACATTACCCATCTATCTATCTATTCACGTTACTTTTTTAATGCTGATAACTAGTAAATTCCTAGTCCTATTTAGTCACCTGCTCAATGATCCAAAGAATATTATTCAAGTCTATTAATCTGTCAATTTTTCAGGTCCAGAACACAGAGATGAACTTTTGTCATATGTGAAAACACATCACTTATACGCACAAGTAGCTGAAATATTACCACAGGATGCTGAAGAATTCAAGGTATTTTATGTTGTTTTTTCTTTACATGAATAGTATTCGTAATGATAATCTGCTCTCCGAAGCACTAAAGTCAGCTCAGTATTCTTCTGGAAATAATATTTTTCGATACTATTTGATGGAGTAGAGAATTTTTAGAAGGAACTATGTATACTACTCGTAGTAGGTTAAGTTTACATGCCCACTAGTCAATTAAGTAGTATCGTAAGAAGCTTGAATGTTTTTGCATTCATACATTAGTCCATAGTCACACTATCCAACGCCAGATAGTGACAGTTCAGAAATCTATTTTATAGCAGGTGAAAGAGACTGATTAACCGATTCTTTGTTCAACGATGCAACATCTAGTACATGCAACTGAAATGATTCATGACTTATTACTACAATAATTTGAATGCTTTACCACCACCACTACTACTACTACTGCCGGAAATGGAAGTATGCGAAACTCACACTATGAAAATGAATTCGTAGGCTCATCTTGACTTTATCACAAGGATAAATAATACTTCACTTTTGTCTACGGAATAAGTAACATCTTTCGTACTGACTATACTTTTGAATCAAGTATCCAAACGGAAGGTAGGTGATGTTGTAAACAGCAGAAGTATGTGTGAATTTCTTTCCGGGGAATTTGAAACTAAAGCGAATAAGCGATGTTCCAAAAATAATCTAAACGCTTGAGTTACGCGTAAAATGCAAAACACAGGATTCGTCTGAAATACGGTCCCATGTTCATAAAAAATATTAAATTATAAATTATAAACCTTGAGTCTTAAGGTATCTGTGGGTTTATGGAGAGTGTGATAACAGTGTAAACAGAAGGGCTGTGACCAATACAAACCGGAAGGGAATATGAAAGACGCGTGCATCTTCCCACGATGAGGCAAAGACACGAAATAATCAAATGTCCAAGGTAAAATAGCACATCAGGGAGCAACGAAAGAAATCCTAACAAGATCATGAAACCGCAAAGGGCTGTTAAATGATGAACAAGGCACGACTGAATAGAATGAACAGTCAAGTTGTGGATCAAATAAGAATAAATGAAAATAAATTATGCTACTCAATAATACTAAGTAGTATAAAAAAATTAAAGATAGAAAGGGATGCAGGGTTTACATAAGCCAAACAAGAGCAAGGTGGGAAAGAAATCAATAATACAAATAACGTTGTTTTTTTAACCACAAATCAGAATGAAAATAATCTGTCTCATGAAAGATTTCAATTGCATCATTTCAGGATTAAAGTTAAAGATGTGCTTCTTGACTCACTGTTCCATCATCACTATCAACTGAGAACCAGACATTACTACATAACAGTTTAAGTTACCTCACATTATACCAGCACAAAGCAATAAGAAATACGGAAGAAAGCAGTCAAATTGGTGGGAAATCGTGATAAGATAACAAGAGGGAATTAAGGAATATACTGAATTCTGTATTACGATTAAAATATGGAAAGTGTGTGGATACGTTAGGACCACTAACGTTTATTCTGATCCATGTCAGTTAGAGTCTTCAACCGATGGTTTCTGTTGCCACATGAATCCCAACCAGGAGGTCTACATTTCATAATACGACTCAGACTAACAGTCAACGACTTCATGTTATGTTTAGTCTTACTGCTTCGAGCTATTTTCCAGCTTGAACCTACTTCAGCTCACATTGCACGACGAGATTGATGCATAACTTCATTGTTCTGGTCCTGTGTCAGGAGTGAAAATATAATCATGTTAGATGAAAGGGTATTTGACATCTCCACAATCTACACTTTCTAACCAGTACTATTAGAATGTCCATTTTAGTGAAGAGTTTTCATATACACCTTTTGCATGCCCAACTTACAGTTGCGTTTTCTATTGAATTGGAGTTGTCGTCTTACGGAAAGAGGACCATCGATGTCGATAGTATACTGAATGGCATCTGTCTAATCTGATGCACAATTATAGTCAGTTATTTCTTTGATTGGTTTTGCAAATCTATCATGAACCTGACTGTTTACAATAATCTCATATGAACGATATCAGTAGACTGTACAAATACTTTTATGTCAGTTAGAAACATATTTAACTTATTGTGTGTATTGATAATCACCTAAGTGTTAGAGTAGATCAGACAACACTTTATTGATAAATTAGATGAAAATTGACTCTGGGTAAAAATAGACAACCTTCTATGCAAAGTCGAACTGGTAACTCAAACAGCCTTGAAATTCACCTGTTCATCTGGTTTATGTTTTAAAACCTCTTTCCAATTTTTGCTGTATTAAAAAACGCCTACAGTCTAACACTACACAAAAAACTTTGAATGAGGATCAAATGAAACATCACAGCATGAACTCTAGCACTTTGTACAACATAGGCATCAACAACATCTAACTATGATTCCAAACAGTATCCGAGTTTCTATGTTCATATCATCCTATGCTTATGCCTATTCTTGAGATACAATATACGTTAGAGATTTTGAGTTATACTCTTCTGCTGTTAGATTCTCATCATGATGGAATTGTTGAATCTAATGAGGTTCATTGTGACATCTATTCAGAAATTCCAACCAATATAGTGTAGGTTAATACACAATAGGTATGATACTATTCTCTACTACCTTTTAAAATCAACCTAATATAGTCGATATACCAGTGATATTAGAATGTGTTATTTCTCGTTCTTGTTTGGTTTTACCGAAATGAATCAGCCTTTGTCAGCATATGTCTGTGCCATCCTATTTAGGACTAGTCAGCTGAATGTAACAATCACTAAGAGTTTTACTCGACTACCATGTAAATTCATGATGAGTTAGTACCACTTGATCGTATACACATTGACTGCCTAATCACGATTTCTGATCCCAATTCGGATGTAACTGAATATAAGATAGGGAGCATCATATCAATTGTCATTTTGACTAACTGAGGTGAAATGAAAATTTGGACCGCAGCGGAATTTGAATCAGCGACTATAGGGTTTATGGCTCCGATGCTCTACCAACTGAGCTTGTAACGCGTCACAAATTCACAAAAAAAGACCTGGTGATTAAAGCGAAATATAAAAAAATCTGACCAACAGTCGAAACTTGTAGCTCAGTTGGTATAGCATCAAACCGGGGGAACCCAGTGGTGGCTGGTTCGAATCCGGTTGTAGTGCAAATTTCCATTTCACTTTCAATCACCACTCAGTATCAAAAAACATTCTATAAAGACTCATTCTTTTCAGCAATATCATTCTCATGTTGTACAATCTTATAAAAATATTATATTTACTTAGCTATAAAAAGGGAACGTTTCAGAAATTATTGTCTTTTTAATCAAATTTAATCTTGATTACAAATCAAGAGGGTAAGGAAAAAGAACTACACAACGTGTAAACTAATAATAATAATCATCATAAAATGACCTATCAAGATCGATTGCTTTAATACACCAAGCGAAATAGGATTCATTCTTTGTGTTCTTGAGTCCACGTTATTTGCAGTTCGTATACTTTGTAAGATGAATATAGTTTTCTTGAAAATATTCTAATTGAAAACCGATATCCTGTGAAATTGAAACCACATTATAAACAATCCTACTTATATGTTTCTTAAAAATCCTTTTTTTTGTGAATTTAATGTCCGATAGAGATGTATTAACAAAAGTATTTTAAAAAAAACCTGTCTGACATGCTCATCAAGAAAGATCTGTGCTATCGAATTCTGACTTTGATTATGCGTTAGTTACGTTGGTCACCTCTATTTGTGTTTAACATTTCCCCGGTTCACTTATTGCATGTAACATCAAATATATTACAGGATGGTTTGCATAAAGTAGAAATAAGAGTATTTCTCACCTCTTTCCTAGAGCATTTGATTAATTCTGACCACTCACGGGGTAAGTGTAGAAAATAACTTCATTTGTTATCGATTACATTCATGAAAACTCTTCGAAATGGTGTACACCTGAAACTTCTTCAAACTGTAGAACCTATAGCATTTCATATTTTGAAGCTTAAAGTCTTCATTTAAACATAGTTTATTCAGTCACTTGATTTGTAAGCGATATAAACTGCAAGAATTATGTCCATCCAAATCGTAACTAAAGTATTAGGTCTTCTCAAATTTCTTCCACTCCTAAAAATTATTATTTCTCATTACAATCATCGATTCCTTTAATCATATTACGTCATTTAACCTAGTAACAATAATACCTCAACCTTGTCATCACTATTTTAGACATTACGTAATTAAAACTAGCCTTTTCCTTATTTTGATTATTAATATTTGTCCCTTGGGTTCTTAGTGAAACATTAGGCTTCTGTAGCACGTCTCCATTGTACTCTGTCCTCTGCAACCTTTTGAACCTTGCTCCACGACTGCCTGCCAAAAACTTTCATTTTTTCCTCAAACGATTTCCTTTATGTCACCCTCGGACACCCAACTCGTCGTTTCCCATTTCTGTTCTACTCGTGGGCCTGGCCTGATGCGTGATGTCCGCAAACGGTATTCTCAGTGTATGTCTAATACAATCCATCTCCGCTTTCTTCTCTTGAATATTTGTTGGGCGATAGGTTCTTGGTTGGTTCGTTGCCAGAGTCCCTTCTTCCTTATTCTTTTTCCCTTCTCATCTGCTCTTCAGCATTTAGCCAGCGTAAGCGGCAGCTGTTGATGAACGTATTTAGTTTATTGGAAATGCTCTTCGTGACACGCCGTTTCTAAAACACATAGTAACACTGACTAGACATTGGTGTTGAAAGTCCGGATCTTGTTCCACATGCTGAGTACAACAGATCTCCACACTGATTTCAGATTAGTGGAAGCCTGTCTTGCATTTCCAATCCTGGTTTTCACATCCTCATCTGTGCTCGTGCCACCTGTAGTTGAAACCATCCTACCTAACTATGTACGTGAAGGAGACTACTTCCTTTAGGTTTCTCTCCTTCATTGTGATTGGTGCATGTTGTTGTTGGCGCTGTTGTTGGTTGGGTATCTTCATCATCTCCATCTTCTCTACTTTCACCTGAAGGAAGTGAAGTCCCATCTTCGCTGCATCACCTCTTCTACCAACTTGTTGGTTTTCACCTGTAGTACATCTTCCAGTTTGTGCCACAAAACATTAGACGACATAAATCATCATCATCATCGTAGGCGAAATCCAAATCTTCTTCCAGGGTCTTTTCATCGGTCCAGACAGTGTGTATGTCACTATTCTCACTCCTCACAGTTTGTCACATCATGCAATCCAGTCGAGTGGACCAGAATCAGGAAGATGATCGGTGATAATAGACGGCAATCATCTCTTACTCGTGTCACCTGTCTTCACTTCAAAGGTATCAGTGAATAGTTTTCCATTGTGAATGACTTTGCATGTAGCATCATATATAGCATATAACTGTTGAATGAGGTTGATAAAAGTTTGTGATACTCCTTGGTGTTGAAGCGGCTGCCAAATAACTTCTTGGTCGACACTGTCGAAGGCCTTTTCAAAGTCGATAAAGTAGAGGTAAAGTGTTGACTGCCATTCTATGAACTTTTTCCTTGAGCGTTTTTTTAATTATTGACAGATTCGCCTGAACTCTATCAGTTACACTGGTGTATCTATCGTTATAGTGTATATTTTATATTCCAGGAACTTTGTCATTCGTGGGCTGAATATTTAATTTCATCACAAAATCTTATTTCTGCTGGACAAGTTTATATGAAAGGTGGATTTTTTGGTTTAGCAGCAAAAACATTTCTGTCTGCTACAAATACCCAATTGTGGTGTATTGCTGCTACACGTTGTCTTGAACTGAATGAGAAACAAACTGATGAGGTGGCATTTACTGAAAGATACTTGAGTCATGCAGAGATACATGCGCAGGCAATAAGATTGATTGGTAATTTTCAATTTCGTTGTTTTCCTCTTTAGTAGTCAGTTTGTCTTCATTAATTTCATGCTGTTTATTTGAATCGTTTATGGGATAAATCGTAATCTGAGTAGCTTTCCCTTTGGAAAGTGTTGGATCTGAACTACACAATTTTTAATACTTATTCATTGTAATAGATTCGAACTTAACATACGAGTTTTATGATGAAGGAAATAGTTTAAATTTTGCTAACTGTTTATGAATTGTACGGTGTACATTTACAATTTTCCCAGCTGAACACTTTCAGCTGTTGCACTATGTTACCAAATAGGGTTAATACTGAAGACTATCATACCCAGAAGTTCATCTAAGTCAACTAGCCACAATCTCTAGTCCTTTGGTACTCTAGTGGCGGGAAGTTTCTAGCTAGATCCAAAGTAATCAAAGTTTAGCCTAAAAATCTTCAAAGCGTTGTGTTTGACCAGTCGCAAGTAAATGTTCCTTGACCTCTGTGGTCACGTTCCACTATTGCTAATACAATTTCTTTTTCTCGTACCTCAAGAAGAAGTAACCGTCTACGGTATGGACAGCTGGGAAATGTCAACCACCCCCAAAACGTTATCACCAATCAAGTTCTTTATGGTCATTGGCTATTTTAAGCATCATTCCTCTTCATATATTACTAATAAGCTCTTCTACAAACTCAACCCTCTCGTTTTTAGTTATTTCTCTGTGATCTAACTAGTCCAAGTTAATCCAACAATATGTGCAATACAATATTATTAAATGAAGAAGTACGAAGGCAACGCAATCAAAAGTAAAAGAGGACGAGTCAGCACATCAAACTGTAAATGAAAATCTGCTTCAATGTGACAAGTAGGAAAATCCAGGACGCGCATTTCGTCTTGCTGATGAGTCCCAAATAGGACGAAATGCGCATCCTGGATTCTTCTGCTAGCCAAAACCAAAACAAATTATCATAATTAACATTCAAGCAATATCGAGGCATTCGCATAAGAGCCCATATGCCAATAGAGGTCGAACAATCTGATCCTGGGGGGGGGGGCACTAGACAGTGGTTTCGTCCTAGCACGGGGCTCCTCAGAAGTATGCACCTATCATCCTGCCAGTAGCCGAACCGAAGACCTTCAGGTTCCAAAGCGAACACGTAAGCCATTCGGTCGGAGTTCAATTCACGATGTAGCGCAACTATCCACTAAGATCTTCATTTGGCATGCGCTTCACTTCTGCGACATATCACTGCTTCTCACCAGGACTTCGGGATATTCATCTCAAAGCATGCCACTGAAAATAAATCTTCATAAACCTCAAACTATGTATATATTTTTGATATTTCGGTTTGGAATTATGCCCCTGAAGAAGCTCGAACTAGACTTCCGTGCGGGACGTTGGATTATTTCATTTCAAACACGCTGTGACCTACACAAATACGAATTATGTCCAATGTCTAGTTATTAGTTTTTTTAAACTTTGCAAAGCAATAGAAATTCCGGGATATGAATAATGCTACTGATAAGTAGTAAGTAATATAACTAAAAAAGCGTAAATAATAGGGAAGGGGGGAATGTGATATGAAACGAACCACGAATAATACGGAGATGCAGGCGTATCTAACATCCGCCTTGTTTAAATAGGTTCTGTCGAAACCACTCACATCGACTGTTAGATAGCTTCTGAATTAAGCTGAACCTATGACTGTTCTGAATAGAGATCACTGTGTGTAATTCTATCTTTGTAAGTAATCTGTTGAAAATGTGATTCACAGTGTATCCAGTCAAGTAGTCCAACTTAAATAATTAGCACCTATGTCACTTTTATTCCTATCAGCTTAGTTTTTCATTCGAAACTATTTGGCTTAGGAAATTAATTTTCTGTTGGCCCTCCTAACGTGTTGATTATCAGTCTTATCTGAGCCCAATTAAGAACAAATGATGAGTCCGGAGAATTACCACTCAGCCTAGATATAGCAAGATCCGAACGAAATAGTTAGCATTATAAAGCCATAACATAACCCGGCTATATATGTGTGGGAGTGAACACATTAACCTTCAAATTCCACCCTTGGTTGTCACTTAATTCTTCGGTAAATATAAAAGGCAGTAAGACAGCAGAAGGTGTATTGTAACGTCTAAATGTGTACAAAATACAACGGTTCATGCATATTTACAATGGTCTTGACTACTTCTACACCTTTCCAGAACCATGTATCCCATTGATTGTCTCCTTTTAAACTAATCTGATATTTGGGGAGGGACTTAAGTGCTGACAGTTGCGAGGGCGGTTGACACTTCCCCGCTGCCTACACCTTGGAAGGCTAGATCTTTTTGAGGCATCTAAAAAAGAAGGGTAAGTGTGTGATCACAGAGCCCATGGGACAGGCCAGTCACGTATGGCTTTTTGATGCCACGAAAATTGTCCTATATCATGGGAAGTGTGGTCAGACATATGTCCTGTGGTTTTGGATCACCACTAACCACTGATGACTGGTCTAACCCATCATGATACATCATTTCATTGTTTAAGAACATGTTAACGATAATCGCTTTTTGTGTATTCACTATCCAGTAGACCTTTCTGGTATAGTAGGACCTCGAAGGAACAAGCGTTCCATCAACACTGCTCGTTAGGTTATCGTGATATTTGCACGTAGATCTATGTGCTTTTTCTCAAAACGTTGATTCTACACGATTTGTTTTCAAGGAATTTCAGGCTTTTTTATGAAGATTCGAGCAATCTTATCGCACTCTAACATTGTATCAGCAACATGTTATTTTTACAGATTGTTATTCATTGATTATTTCATGAGTATTTATGTCTTCAAATTGTTTTCAGGCCAGCCACCATAAGTTTACTTTGATACTGAAACGAATTTTATGTGTTGGTGTAGAGTAAAATTTGTGGAGGTCGAAAAAAAGGGTATCAGCTCCTAGTTGTGAAACATGATAGTCGGAGTAAAATTTTTAGATTGAATATTTGGTTGGTACAATATTGAATATATATCTACACTTTGCAATGAACTTAACATAAACAACATGGATTATAAGTTTTCACAGGTTTCAGTGAATCCATTCATTCGTAATGTATATAACAAGCTAAATTCAGTTCAGTTGCAAAGTTTTTGATGTGTGTTATACTATATCGTAAGTAATAATAGGTTTCAATTTGGAGGTTTATGGTGATTTACATATTGATTTTGCTATAATCGGTAGTACGGCCTAACGGATTGCGGGCGATACGAACTTAATGCGGAAACCAATCGACTTGAACGCTCATCAGAACGTCAACAACAATAATACCATCAACACGTTATGACAAGAAGAGGAGATGGACTGTTGACGGAGAGCTTTTACTGTCTGTCTCAACAACAGTCAAAGAAGTTGAGATCGATGCTGAGTATATACACTTCTAAGTGACCTTGACAACACTAAGTCTACATTAAGATTAGAAGAAAAAACAGCCAATGAGAGTTCAGCTTCTAGAGGAGTGGGAAACAAAGACCAATAACGGTTTGAAAACAGCAATGATAAGTTATTTCAAGGTTATCGGCAAAAGTTATTCAGAAATAGGCGTATATAGCAAATTTCAGGTTGATATTCACTATAGAATGAGATCAGTTGAACTGACAGAAGTAGGAGATTTCCATCATTGGATCACACGCAACCCGGTGGTTGAATGGTAACGAGTTAGTCGCAGAACCTGGAAGTCCTGGGGTCGTTCCTTGTAGGGTTCATAGGCGCACACTGCTGAGGGGTTTCATACCAGGACAAAATAGCTCTCATCATAGAGTCCGTATTTTTATGAATTATTCTTTTATGAAGTGAATCTTACCAATGTATGTACTAATATTTTATTGATTTCAATTCTTACCGTCAATCTCATGAATAGGTCGTCTAAAAGATCTTCAACGTCATCAAGAAGCTATTCAAATCTGTATTGATATTTTAGAGGTAAGAATTTTTCTTACTTTTGTTCACCTTTCCACTATCTTCTCAGTATTCAACTGATTAGTGTATAGACAATCTACTCATCGGATTCTACATCCACTGAATGAATGTTGAAACGTTTCTCGATGTATACTTCAAGCTTTTCAGCATTATTATTATTTTATTATATGTCCCTTGGGTTCCTAGTGGAACATAGGGCTTTAGTAGCACGTCTCCAGTGCACTCTGTTCTCTGCAGTCTTCTCAACCTGGCTCCACGACAGCCCACAAGCTTTCATTTCTTCCTCGCACTATCTCCTCCATGTCACTGTCGCCTCAGACACTAGACTCGTCGTTTCCCATCTGGGTTCCACTCCACGGCCTGGCCTGGAGCGTGATGTCCCCACTCGGCCTTCTCAGTGTCTGCCCGATTCAATCAATCTCCACTTCCTTCCAGTGCATATTTGTTCAGCGATAGGTTGGTTGGTTCGTCACCAGCCAGAGTTCCTTGTTGCTTATTCCTACTATTCTGGCCATCTGAGCTTCAGTAACGAGCCAGCGTAAGCAGTTGTTGATGAATGTCTGTAGTTTGTTGGAAATGCCTTTCGTGACACACCAAGTCTCTTAACTATCACATAGAAGCACTGACTTGTCTTACGTTGGTGTTGAAAATCGGGATGTTGTTCACGCTTTATGCTGAGTGAAGTGCAGTGCAGTGCAGTGTACCTCCACACTGGTTTCAGGTTAATGAACGCCTGTCTTGCTGTCTTTCCGATCCTTGCTGCCTTTGACGTCCTCGACTGTGCCTGTGCCACCTGTAGTTGAAACAGTGCTGCCTAGATAGGTGAAGGAGGCTACTTCCTTTAAGTTTCTCGCGTTGATGGTGATTGAAGTTTGTTGTTGTTTTGGTGGTGGTGACGTTGTTGGTTGGGTATCTTCATCACCTCTGTCTTCTCTTCATTAACTTGAAGTCTCGTTTTCTCTGCCTCACCTCTTCTGTCAACATTTTAGTTTTCGCCTGTAGATCTTCGAGTTTGTGCCACAAGACACTAGACACAAGTCATCGGTGAAATCCAAATCTTCTAGGATCTTTTCCCCAGTCCAGCCAGCGTATCCCCCTCTTCTCGCTCCTCACAGTTTGTTGCATGATCCAGTCCACCACAATCTGGAATATCATGGGTGATAGTAGACAGCCTTGTTTCACTCCTGTCTTCTCTTCAAAGTAATTGAGCATAATGCTGTGTAAATATATGTAATATTTAAAACTAAGATGGAATATTTGTTCATGGTTTTTTGATGATTATTAAATTCCCTAGTTCTATTCAACTCAGTGATTATATAATATCTAGATGAATAGTTAATCACGTAGTAAAACTTGCGAATTAACTAGTAACAGCATAAACTCTTGGATGATCCAAATTTTCATACTTTACATAAGCACATTAAGGTACAAGTGAGCACAGAAAGTAATCAACATTTGTAAAACGTTATTCGAAGCGTAAAGAAGAAAGTAAAGGAGATAATGAAATGTCATATGACGATCAGAATAAAGATAATGCGTAGATTCATACGTAATCATTGTGATCGATTCTCAGCCACACTAGCTAGAGTCTACAATCACTGTTGAGTTGTGATGCGGACTACAATCTGAAAATTCACACGTAAGTTTAGTCAAAGTTCTTATGAACTGGCATTTTCGCAGCATAAACCTACCTCAAGTAGTGTCGCAGTTGATGATGACTAGGCATGCGTAACACCACGCCCCAGACATTTATTGACTTGCCTGTCTCACACAGGGCCAATGCCAATAGGGCAACGGCTGTCGAACATCTGAAGACTGATCATTTCGTCTGCCTGTAATAGCCGTGTTTTTCAATCATACAGTAGAACAGAGCGAAATGTTCCTATCTTTAATTGTCAGTGAAATATCAGCAGGAGCTAATCGGACCTTTTTATTTAAAAATAGTAGGCAAACAATGATTTGATATTTTATCGTTGACATCTTATCACCAGGGTTGGTGAGATTATCAATGCTAACTTTATCCAGTAGAAGTTGAATGAAAATCTACTCAATGTTTCACAGAGATTGGTGAAGGAATACTGTTTCTAAGATCTATTTATCGTTACATCTGCTTAGTCATTGTCATGATTTGGAAAACGCTACGGTCGCTAACGCTGCAGGGATGTCAATTGTCAGTCACTAACACACAACAAACTAATGAAGATACGATGGACGTGTAAGACAAAGGAAAATATGCCTGATATATAGATAGGTCACTGGTTAGAATCATAATATTGATTTTAGATAATGTAATTAGATGACGTAGATTATCTGGAAAATGTGATGTATTAGCGCTATACATTTCGAACAATCTGATCACACATTTACTTTTTAAGGCATTATATATGAAAACTGGAAGTGGGGGAAGGACACATGGCATAAAGGAATTCAATATTAAGAAAGATAATGAGAGGAATGAAAGATAAGACTTGAAGACAATCTTGGTAATACGATAAAATAAGCACTACCAAGGTAGGCTTAATGTAAGGACAAGCTGTTTTTGCACACACAATGGGGGTTAAATTTATTTATGGCTAGCGCCTCAACAAACTTAAGTATACGCCCCTGACAGTTTCTGTACAAAATTGTAAAGGCTGTTTTGATATCAATTCTGTGACTCTTATCAATGATATGTTTCGCAATGGATGATGATGGTTGTCTGCCATTTGCGCTTATCAATGTTTGTGAATCCAGCTGCTTTCGTAGCCACTTTGGAACATGTTCCCTTACCCTCAAGTGCATATCACGATTCGTCCTCCCTATGTATGTTTGTCCACACACACATGTAAATTTATAAACGCAGTGGGATGTGACACAATCATTTATACAGCGTTGAGGTCTAGGTAGCAGCAGGTGTTTGGTCTTCTCAACTATGATAAGCTTAGCTGCATAGTACGTTTCGCTAACAGCAGACCTTAACCTTTGTCTTAATATTATGCTATTAGATTCTCCTCTGTATGGTAACGCGGTGTAAACGCATTTCTTCGAAACAGAGTACAGATCAGGTTTGAATCCTCGCTGACTTTTGCAGCGGTTTATGAACTTCAATGCATATCCATTTTCCACTAATGCTTCTGTTAGTATTTTTTATATCATCATCCATTCAGTCCTCCGTATAAATACGCTCGATCCTTTTAAATAGACAAGTTTCCATAGCTTTTGTCCAACCCAATACAAGCGAAACCTCGCCTGGTTAACTAGTATACTAGTTACTAGCCGGTCCTAAGCCCGGGTAAAGAGGGAAGGTTGGGCATAGGGCTAGCAACCCTACCCCGTAAAACAAATCTAACCGCTAAAGAAACTTCAAAGCACAAACAAAATATAAAAAATGAAAACAAACTTATTCCCCGCTGGAATCGGAGAGGCGAAATGACGCCAGTTGGTGAAAGCCTTCGGGAAGCCAATTGGCCGATGTGTCTTCTCTCGATGAAAGCGAAAGTAAACGTGGGGACATGGAATGTCCGTACGATGTTTGAACCCAGTAAGGCAGCCCAGATTGCAAGGGAGATGAGAAGGTATAACATCGAAGTGCTTGGGATTTGCGAAAGCAGATGGAATGGGAGTGGACTCTCCAAACTGTCAACTGGAGAATCAATAATCTACTCCGGTCACCCAGACGCCAACCACGAGCACACTGAGGGAGTGGCTATCATGATGTCCTCAAGAGCATCGAAGGCTCTCATGCAGTGGGAACCAATCTCCTCCAGGATCATGACAGCAAGATTCAACTCAAAAGGAAGAAAGGTCACAATCATACAATGTTATGCACCTACAAATAATGCAGAGCAAGAGAAAAAGGAGGATTTCTACAGACAACTTCAATCAACACTGGACAAGACGTCAGTTGGCGATATCAAAATTCTGATGGGCGACATGAATGCCAAACTGGGAGGGGACAACACGGGAAGAGAACTAACCATGGGTCGAGAGGCACTAGGTGAAATGAATGAGAATGGAGAATTGTTTGCAGAATTCTGCGCATTCAACGATTTGGTGATTGGAGGCAGTGTGTTCAGGCACAAAGATATCCACAAAGCGACATGGATTTCACCAGATGGACACACTAAAAATCAAATCGACTTTATCTCAATCTCAAGAAAATGGAGACGCAGTCTACTTAACACAAGGTCAAGAAGAGGAGCAGATGTAGGTTCAGACCACTACCTAGTGCAAGGAACCTTCCAAATCAAGTTAAAAGCCTTCAAGGAAGCTGGTGATAGACCTCAACCCAAGTACAACACTCGGAAACTGAAGGATGAAACTACAAAGGAGATCTTCAAGGCAGCCATCAAGACAAAATGGGAGACATCGAGGGACATCCCTGAAGAAACCTGTGTGGAAGAACACTGGAAGTCTTTGAAAGCTATGTGGAAAGAAACCTGCACAACAGTATTAGGAAGGAAGAAGAAAGAAGACAAGGAATGGATCTCGACAGATACCTGGAAGCTGATAGAGGAGAGGAGGATGGTGAAGCAGAAGATAAACCAGTGCAAGGATGCTCAACGACAAGATGAACTGAGCACAATGTATAAAACACTGGACAAAGAAGTGAAGAAGAGTGCACGCAAAGACAAAAGACACTTCTACGAAACACTGGCAAGTGAAGCAGAACAGGCTGCAGGTAAGAGAGACCTGACGACATTGTATCAAATAACCAGGTTGCTATCAGGGAATAGACCAACACAGATGAAACCAATAAAAGATGAAGAAGGAAATTTAATTACGAAAGAAGAGAAACAGAGGAAACGATGGGCCGACCACTTCAAGAAGCTCTTGAATCGACCACCACCTGCACTTCGTCCAGAAATACCACCTGCAGCCGCTGAACTACAAGTGAACATTAATCCCCCAACGAAAATGGAAGTCCTGAACGCCATAAAGCTACTGAAATGCGGGAAAGCAGCAGGACCAGATGGAATACCGCCAGAAGCACTGAAAACAGATGCAGAGACAACAGCGGCCATGCTCACACCACTATTGCAGAAGGTGTGGAAGGAAGAGAAGGTACCTGACGATTGGAAGAAGGGTTACCTTGTCAAACTGCCGAAGAAGGGAGACCTCAGTGCTTGCAAGAACTGGCGCGGAATCACTCTCCTGTCCACCCCAAGTAAAATATTAAGCCGCATCATCCTGGAGAGGCTAAGGGATGCACTGGATTCAAAACTACGACCGGAACAGGCAGGCTTCAGGAAGTACAAATCATGTGCAGACCAAATTGCAACGCTTCGTATCATCATAGAACAGAGCATAGAATGGCAATCACCTCTCCACCTCAACTTCATCGACTTTGAGAAGGCCTTTGACAGCGTCGACCGAGAAGTAATTTGGAAACTGCTTCAATACTACGGAGTACCGCAAACCTTTATCAACCTCATTCAACAACTATATGAAGATGCTACATGCCAAGTAATCCACAATGGGAAGCTCAGTGATGCCTTTGAAGTGAAGACAGGAGTGAAACAAGGTTGCCTACTATCCCCCATGATATTCTTGATTGTGGTGGACTGGATCATGCAGCAAACAGTAGGCAGCGAGAAGAGGGGGATACACTGGACGACGGAAAAGAACCTAGAAGACTTGGATTTCGCCGATGACTTATGCCTAATGTCACACAAACTTGAAGATCTGCAGGCAAAAACTAACAAGTTGGCAGAAGAGGCAGCTAAGACGGGACTTCAGGTGAATATAGAGAAGACAGAAGTGATGAAGATACCGCACCACCACCATCAACAACAACAACAACAAACTCCAATCACTGTCAACGGGAGAAACTTAAAGGAAGTAACCTCCTTCACTTATCTAGGAAGCACTGTTTCAACTACAGGCGGGACGGACGAGGACGTCAAAGTCAGAATCGGAAAAGCAAGACAGGCGTTCATTAGCCTGAAACCAGTGTGGAGATCTTCTGCACTCAGCATGCGGAACAAGATACGGATTTTCAACACCAACGTCAAGTCAGTGCTCTTGTATGGCTCAGAGACTTGGCGCGTCACGAAAGGTATTTCCAATAAACTACAGACATTCATCAACAACTGCTTACGCTCGCTGCTGAAGATCAGATGGCCAGAAAAAATAAGCAACAAGGAACTCTGGGAACGAACCAACCAAGAACCTATCACGCAACAAATATGCAGGAAGAAGTGGAGATGGATTGGCCATGCACTGAGAAGGCCGACGGAGGACATCACGCGTCAGGCCCTCGAGTGGAATCCCCATGGGAAGCGACGAGTTGGACGTCCGAGGGTGACATGGAGGAGGTCGTGCGAGGAGGAAATGAGAGCTTCTGGGCTGTCGTGGAGCCAGGTTCAAAAGATCTCAGAGAACAGAGGTCACTGGAGGCGTGCTACTGAAGCCCTATGTTCCACTAGGAACCCAAGGGACTAATAATAATAATAATAATACAAGCGAGGTTTGGTAACTTGTTTCAAATAATATTGATTGGCTGATCCACTGTCTGTCTATCTAACTGTGACGTGATAACATTAACTTCATTTTGATTGGTCCCTCTCCAGACTAGTCTTTTCTCTCTATCCTCATATCAGTCACATAAAAATACTAGTTGTTTTAAGGCTCAAAGAAGGAAATTGTCTCGGCCAAAATATAGAAGACCTTTGAGCTAATTTGGATGATCTATTTTAGAGGATTTCCTGTAACAGCATTAAGTAGGATGTAAAGTATGGATATTAAATATCAACAAAAGTTATGTAGTAAAAAGTTTTAATCCTATATACTCTAGACCAATGGTGTGACTGAAGTTGGAAGAAAACTGTAATCGTAATTAAAACTTGAACCATTAACTTGGAAATCAGTAGTAGCAAGTTCAGTAAATTGTACCTATGATACTATCAGAATTTTAATTTCTCTTTTCTAACGTTTTATTTCAACAGAAATTCAATATGAACACTTAGCAATAAGGAATTTGACATTATTATGAAAGTAGAATAGAAAAGAGAGTTTAAAGTGTAAAAGTAAACAGAGAAGGATAAATATTCACACAAAGCTTTTATTACTTATAAATAATCTAAGACAATGAAATCTCAGCATAATTACTTATTTTGATTGTGAGTCATACTTGATAACTCTATCTATGGCCATAGTAATGATTCACTGGTGAATGGTGATTTAAAAGAGACAGATAGGTAAAATCAAAATAGGACCTCGCACACAGAGGTGCGTCGATTCAAGTTGCCACACTTGACAGGTGGATAGAATAAGTGTTATCAAATTAAACAAAGTTATGTAAGAGAACGAACAATTTGAAGGTAAAAGTTATTGCAAATATTCCAGCTTTAGAAGAAATCAAGGAGTGAATATATCTGCTCTATTGTGATGTCACCAAGATCCCTCAACCACTGATTCCTTTCGTCTCGGGGACCCTACTTTGGTAGTTCCCACTTCCCTATACGGTTTGAACCGACAGTCAGGGACTTCATGCATTGGTACCACATCTTTGACCAGCATGAATCCTCTTCCAAATTAAACCAACTTCCCCTAGTATGTTAGGGTAGGTGGTGGTTAGGAATGCGTAACACACGTCCTCAGTCGCTAAAGGTTCATAACCCCACCAATCGACTTACCTGTCTCCCTTAGTACCCTTCATCTGACCTTAATATTACTTCCAAACTGAATACACCATACATAAGAAATGTTACGATAGCACCTGTGTTCGAAAACATTTAATAACCTGTAATCGTCCACTTTGGCCATTCAAAGTTTCATTTGCTTAACAAAACAGTCAGATTAATTTTGGAGTTTGTCGAGATTTATTAATTTTAAGTTGGTATTCATCCTCACAACCCCCCTCCCCCCAAATTAAAGTGATCTAGTACTCATTGGTGACTAGCTTTGAGAGATGATTCCTGAAGTTCCAATGAGAAGTCATGACCAGTGGAGCAAACTTGGTGGGCGTGAGAAAAATACTCAGTGATGACATTGGGTGAAGGTCTCGATATGTAGTGAGCTGACAGAAGTTGGAAATATGGACCGCCGCGTTCCGACCCAGTGGCTGGTAGCGGAACCTGAACGTCCTGAGTTCGATCCCTGGTGGGGCTGTGGGTGCACTCTGCTGAGGAGACTCATATTAGGACGAGACGGCTATCCAACACTCCTGAGTTTGTTTCCAATGTTCCTCCGACTGATGTCAGTCTATGATGATTACCAACTTAGAAACGATCAATGTGAGTACAATCACATAAACTAATCAGTCATAAGTATCATCGTCATCAGGACAGACTGGTTCACTGCTTTAGAGCATTAATCGAAATGTTTACCTGACCTACACTTAAGACTTTAACTCTGATTAGGGTGTGTGTGTGTGTGTTTAAATCAAGACTTCAACATTTATAAAGTTTATGCGTTCATTATCTGCCCTTATCTCATTTATTTCATAGGATCCTGTAATGGCTATTAGAACAGCTTGTGAAGATAATCTTTGGATGGATGCTCATCGATTGGTAATCAATTTTTAATCTACTCAAATATGTTGTCCTCTTTTTTTTACTATATCTCAAATATTTTAGTGAAAATTTATCTTGTTCTCCTAGGATTTGTGTTACAGAATTTATTAGTAAGTCAACAATCACACAAAAAATTCATCTTTAGCATCAATCCTGTCTTTAATTTAAGGGTTTTGTTGTGACCTAGTGGAATTACGGGGGTAGGTATAGTGATACTGAGACTCAATAAACACCTCAACTGGAATACTTTTACGACTGACCTCCCTCGGTACCTTCTGCTTCACTGAGCCACGAAAATCAGGAGACAAAAGACTGCTGGTGACTGCAAGAACAGCGACAACTTTTATTAGGCAAATACATGGTATGGTTGTATGACTTCGAGTTTGTCCAATCAGGTTATCATGTCAGTACATGCATTAACCATGATCTGAAAACTTCACTATTGCTTGTCTTTTTGTTCGCTACTTATCACGTTTGTAGGAACTTAGTGATTTCTCAAGTTGGTATTCATCATGGACTGACATCAGTTGAAGGAACATTTGAAACGCGAGGGCGCTGGATAGCTGTTACATGCTAGTATGGGACTCTTAAGCAGTGCGCACTCACGACCCCACCAGAGATCGGACCCAGGACCTGCAGGTTTTGCGGCCGGCACGTTACCATTGAGCCAATGCGTCGGAACCCAACGGTTCATATTTCCAACTTCTGTCAGTTCACAATGATGATACCAACTTAAAAAACCACTAAATCCCCATAAACCCCAAATTCAATTGATCTAGTACTCATTGGTGACTAACTTCGAGAGGTGATTATTCCACTGAGGAGTCGTGATCAGTCGGGCAAACCTGGTAGCCGTGAGAACAAATACTCAACGATGACATTGGGTGATGGTCGCTCTATATGGTAAGCCGACAGAAGTTGAAAATATGAACCAGCGGATTCCGACTCAGTGGGACAATGGCAACGTGCTGGCCACGGAGCCTGAATGTCGTGGGTTCAATGCCTGGAGCGCGGAGTTATGAATGCACACTGTTGAGGGAGTTCCATATTAGTCGGACAAAACAGCTGTCGAGCGCTCCCAGGTTTCCAATGTTCCTCCAACTGATATCAGTCCATTATGTATACAAACTTGAAAAATCCTATCTCTACATGTTAAACTGTTTGAATTAGTGGTTTGTTGGGATTGACTAACTACAGGGCATTATTCATCACAGACTGACACTGGTTAAAGAACCACTGAATACCTGTTAGCATGAGATAATTAGCGAAAGATACTACTCCCGAAAGACTTGAGTAGTTAGAAATCACTCAGCCTAATCTGTAGTATTGCGCCAACTAAATCAGTCTGATCTAAACACGAGAAGGCGCCAAGCATAGAGCCGAATTAGTTCATATCACCTGAATTATCTGGCTAGCTTGTTTACAGTGGAGTTATGGCTCATTGATACAGGAAGATGACTTAGGACCCACCTATCGAGGTTTGGATGGTCACGTAGCATCACTAGCCCTCACACAATAGATGAGGTACATCGATTACTGCACAAATGTGCACAAGGTTGCTGAGTGGGTTTCGATTCCGAGCTGACTTACATGGATGGATTTATCTAAAATAGGATAATCGATTTGCAAATGACTATAGGATAATTGTTTCGTCTCAGTATGGAGTCAATCAATCCCTAGGAACCGCCAATCATATTTCTATCCGGTGTTCATCAGTGGCTTTTTCAAGATAGATTTCCTGAGGTTCTATTGAGAAACCTGAACCTGTAGGGTCAGCCAAGCGGAATGTGAGACAGAATACTCTCTGATGGCTTCGGATGATGTGCACGCCAAACTGCGTTGAATATTTGCAAAAGTAGGAAATAGCCGATCATTTAATTGCAACCTACTGGACGTATTGTAACACATACATCGCGAGACCTGGTGGGGTCGTGGATGCGCACTGGTGATGAGTCCCAAACTAGGACGAAACAGCCTTTCAGTCCTTCTAAGTTTTCAGCGTTACCCCAACTGGAACCAATCCATGTTCAGATTCAGCTAATCCATTTCGAATATGGTAAATAATCACTTACTATCGATGATCTCTCGCAGACTGACTGATATTCACTTCAACAAGAGTCCAAACATAGATGAGAACTCTCTCTTTCCGGATAAAAGATCAACTTTTCTTAAACTGGTTATCTGTTTGTACCTCATGAAAAAGTTTCAAAAGGTGGTCTAGACGGATGGTTGCTTATTTCTCTAAGAAGTTTCAAACCATTAGCATCTGTATGAATTATCGATCTTAACTGATCAACACAGATTTTCATCCACAAAATGTAGCTTCATGCACTAGGTAATAAACCATACTCTCTGTCTGAGAGCTAAGCATGTTATATAGCTGAGTAAACCTCTTTAGCTGAGCAAGTATTCATATGTATTACTCATCGACTGATGATCAATTGAACAGTTTAATGAAACACAAGTATGTCTCAGATATTTTGATTTACCACACTGTATTATCTGGTCAGCAGTCAGACGTGGTAACTCAGCTGCTAAAGCATCGGGCCGGAAACCTAGTGGTCACTGGTTTGAATCCCGCCACGGTCCGAATTTCCATTGCACCTTTGGTCATCATGCAGTATCAATACTAGTCTGCTAAACCATGGTTATCTCAGACGGTCAATATGATGCTCCCTCTCTGTTATTCAGTTAATTTTGTATTGGTATGACAAGTCCTGATTAGGCAGTCAGTGTGAGTACGATCAAACAATAGTAACGTATCACGAATTCACATGTTAGTTGGGTAAAAAAATCCTTGGCGATTGAAGTGAAATAAAAATTTGGTCCGCTATCGGACCTCGTAGCTCAGCTGATAGAGCACCGAGCCGGTACCCCCCTGGTTCGAATCCAGCCGTCGTCCACATTTCCACGTCACCTTCAGTGATCACCCAGATTCAATACTGGTCTGCTAAACCACGATTATCTCGGGTATTTAAAAATGATAAATGTATTATCTCTTAACAACTTTAAGAATTTATGCTGATATTTCTCTGTTGTTGTGGACAGACTAACAGATAGAGTGTTATGCTTTTGAACGCTAATGGATATATATATGTTCCGGAACAAATATAATACGCACCCTTAGCTGACGGCTAACTTGGTACGCAAGAGGCACTAACTGCAACCCCGGGGCGAATAGAGAGAAAACCGAAGCTGGCAGATGCGAGTTTATTACTTCGAGAGTATAATAATAAATCAATCCGAAACACGTGACTAGGTATACACATGAAAAATGACCTTGTCCTCAATTGAAGAAATTCTCATAGTAAGAGTAAAAGTCAACCAATCAGCGAATTACATTACAATGGGGGCAGGAAATAGACTTAGTCATGCCATAAAAAATGGTGTGGAAGTCACACGTTAAAATGTTCGGATCAATAACAATGTTTTACACAAAACCGGCATCACAACATAGAGACGGACAAATCGAAGTACAACCTGAAGTAGAAATGCATCGGTTCAAATCACTACATTTCTCAGCTGGTGAAATAGAACTGAGCAGAGAAATTCATATTAAGTGGATAAATGCCTATGGAAAGAGAGAAATAAACTAGTCGAAGATTAGTCAAGCATTCAACACTTTGAAGACAACAAAGGCTATACATCTGGGTCACTCGTATCTGTTTTTAGCCATATCACCAAGAATCTCACACCACTGTTTCTTGTTATCTCTAGGACCTTAGTCAAACAATCTACATCTCCATCAGTGGCTCAGATAAACGATCAAAAACTTCACACAATGATGTTACGTCCTATTTTGACTACATTTAGTCTTCCTTCCTAACACACGTCTGCATGCATAACACTTACCCAGGTGACATCAGTCACTGAAGGTTCACAACCTCATCGAATGATCTCCCACCATCCCTCGCGCTTTGCGTCTAACCTATACATTACTCACACAGCAATTTCACTATATGTAAATAATTCCACCAAGGTACCTTCAATCTCTTCATCTGTGGCTTATTCACCTAGACAGTTAATTTCCAACCGATGGACCCCAAGTTTGAACCCACCCCTCTCTAAACGATCAAATAGAAGCACTCACATAGTGCTGAAAGTCCTGATCTTGTTCCACATGCTGAGTACAGTAGATCTCCACACTGATTTCAGATTAGTGGAAGCCTGTCTTGCATTTCCAATCCTGGTTTTCACATCCTCATCTGTGCTCGTGCCGCCTGTAGTTGAAACCATCCTACCTAACTATGTACGTGAAGGAGACTACTTGCTTTAGGTTTCTCCCCTTCATTGTGATTGGTGCATGTTGTTGTTGGCGCTGTTGTTGGTTGGGTATCTTCATCATCTCCATCTTCTCTACTTTCACCTGAAGGAAGTGAAGTCCCATCTTCGCTGCATCACCTCTTCTACCAACTTGTTGGTTTTCACCTGTAGTACATCTTCCAGTTTGTGCCACAAAATATTAGACGACATAAATCATCATCATCATCGTAGGCGAAATCCAAATCTTCTTCCAGGGTCTTTTCATCGGTCCAGACAGTGTGTATGTCACTATTCTCACTCCTCACAGTTTGTCACATCATGCAATCCAGTCGAGTGGACCAGAATCAGGAAGATGATCGGTGATAATAGACGGCAATCATCTCTTACTCGTGTCACCTGTCTTCACTTCAAAGGTATCAGTGAATAGTTTTCCATTGTGAATGACTTTGCATGTAGCATCATATATAGCATATAACTGTTGAATGAGGTTGATAAAAGTTTGTGATACTCCTTGGTGTTGAAGCAGCTGTCAAATAACTTCTTGGTCGACACTGTCGAAGGCATTTTTTCAAAGTGGATGAAGTTGAGGTAAAGGTACAGTTGACTGCAATTCTATACTCCGTTCTATGCTGATGCGTGGCGTAGTGTTGCAGTTTGATATGCACATGATTTGTTCATCCCAAAGGCAGTCAGCCAACCAGTCTGTTCGGGTCGTAATTTTGAATGCAGAGCAT